CTTTCTATCCCCAAAAGTTGGCACTAACTTCGCCAACAAGCGGCGGTCACTCGGTCGGTATAGTTCGCTTGCGGAATACAGGCCACGGAGTTTTTTTCTGTTGCATTGCCGACTTGTTAAATACATGAAAACTGTATCACGACGACTTGTACCCTGACTGAGACCTGGATGTGGTACCTCAGGAACGCGAATGTTACCGCTAGAACCTGTTCTGTTGTTTTCTAAGTCAGCACAGCATCTTGGCCGCTGGATCTTCTTGTGTTGCGGTGAACTGTATCGGAGGATTGAACGAGCGTGAAAGTTAGAGGATCTCACCCTCTTCAGGTGGGTGTTGATACAGAAAGAAAGCAGAAAGTTGGGTTTGTACGCACTGACATCACTCAACTTTTACTCACTTGATTCATCACACTCTGTGCAAGATTCATTAGAAGTTCTATGTTTGGAACATAACGCCTTGTAGTCCGTTGAAAACGGATATCAACGTACTACACAGCGTTATATCCCAGAATATACAGAATATGACCACAGCTGTGAAAACTTCGAATCCTACAAGATCCATCAACTTAACTTTGTAGCCTGCTTCTCTAAAATTTAATATTCATCTTTTAGTACGAGAGTGGTATGAATGAACTTAAAACTCCGTGATCTTATCTCGCAAGCGAATTATACCGACCAACCGACCGCCGCTTGTCGGCGAAGTTATTGCCAGCTTTCGCGGATAAAGGGTGTTGCATGGTAAGCGCAACCAATCCCCACGGCCGTTAATTTCGGTTTTCTAGACCGGAGCAGCTATATCCTTCAAATAGATCTTCAGTTATCCTCACGAGGCTGAGTGGACCACGTTAAAGATCCACTACTTCTCAGAAAATCTGATAGAGCCGGGAATCGAACCCGGGACCTCTAGATCTGTAGCTAGGAACTCTGACCACTAGACCACATTTTGAAGTGGGAAGAAAATATTTTCACGGCATGAAACAGAGCCCATCCTTAGAACCTAACAGCCATTTACTAAAGAATTTCCCCCCATTTATTATGGGACTCAGAAACTTAATGTCATGTTCACAAGATCCTGTTATGGGTCTCTCCTAACCCAGATGAATTTAGTTCACACCCACTCACCATATTTCTGTAAGATTTGTTTTACTATTTGAAAAAAAAAATGCAAATTCTGAAGCTCCTAATTATGCCTTTCTTCCAAGATTCCTGTTGCTTTCTCTCTCTTATGCCCAGGTACCCTCGTCAGTTGCCCTGTTCTCAACCACATAGAATCTACATTCTTCTCTTGATGTGACAGGGGATAATATTGTAAATTAATTTTAAAGAAGCAAATTTGTAAAGAGGTAAAATCTGATAGACTGAATAATCATTGGGACCACTGTACTTTTTTGTGATATAGGGATTTAGGGGTTTGAAGTTCATATAAACTCTTGTAGAGTTAAGAGTTCGGTATTCTGGAATATGATGCCATGTATATTGGTAGATAAATACCAGCATTTTGGAAGAACCTGCTCCAAAAATATGAAGTTGAAAGATTTAATGTAATAATTAGAGTTTATTTGCATAATCTCGGTTGCCCTTAAATACAGGAAACAGGAAGATGGCAAAGTCATTCAACATTTGTTTGTATATCGGCTCAGAACTCAGAATTCCCTTGAAGGGACTCAGAAATGGCACATATAATCTCAGTTAGTTAGCAAATCCCAGTGCAGAATCTTCAGCTTTTGTACATGGATCCTCACTCATTATAAATGTAACAAATCTTACATAGAGATGCAATGTTCACTGACGAACAGATCAAGTTATGCAGGTCAACACATGAGAGCATCATTCCGTTCCCAAAATATATGTTAATACTCTTCTCCTGTTTAGAAAAAATGGGGAATTTAAAAAAAAAAAAGCTTTACAAAAAGTACTTTCAAAACATTGCCTGTAGTTTTTCAGTCTATTTCACATGACTCCAATAAAGCCCCTGTGTAAATACAGATATATTGATTCCAAAATTCTATGCAGTGTCAGTGCATTTTATAAAACCGTTAGCAGCTGGTTCTAGACAGCATTTACCTGACAACATTTGAGTAATTGCTTTTGAATTTTATGGGCCCAGTTCCTATACATAGATATGATCACCGCAAAGCAGATATTAGTAACTGTATATAGAAAAAAATTACAAGGCAGTCAGCAGTGGCCAGGTTGATATGTAAAGTACTAAGCAGGGCTCGGTGATTTTGAGTTAGAAGCCCTGAGGTGACCAACTAAGTCAATAATTCAGTTTAACTTTCTCTATTAGCATGCATAAGGTTGGTTTTAAGATTTTCAAGCACATGGATAGCAGTGGAACAGTGTGAGAATTTTGGTGGTCTTATATACCGACTTTGCATGCAGTATTTCCCATTTGTGATGTTGGCTTGCCTGATCACTGGCTTCTTGGCCGTCGTATTGTATGTCTTTGTCTTTGATAGTCTTTGGTTTTTATCCTCGTAGATAGCAGTACGCTTCTCTTTGCAAGCTTTGTCCAGGTGCGGGAAATGCTGGTATAAGTTTGGTATGTATTCCATTCCTGCGTTTTTGTATTTACTTTGTAAAGAGTACGCCGCATTAATTATTTCATCAAATATATTGCACAGCATACTTATGCGACGTTTATTTAAGAGTTTTTATTTTTGTTGAATACCAAAGTATACCCGAACTGTTAGAAAACAAAGACAAGTACTACAAAAATTATCATCTCTTTACATATTGTTTTTATACGTTTTAAGTAAATATCCCACATTTCAGTTAATTGCTATTTAAGTAGATTCAGCGTATTTAGGGGAAGTAGGGCTATATGGAACCACTTTTCTCCGTTAGAAGGTGGATAATGCAGATGCTGGTATTGTATTAATGCTGTATTATTTAATAATAATTTAATTCCTTCCTTTGAATGCTTGTTTACACCAAATAACCCTTAAGAGACGGTGATGCTGATAGTATTAATGGTGGTTTTTATAAAATCCTGGGTCTAGTATGAGATATCTGCTGATATTAAATAAGTGGAACCACATAGATTACTCATTATAAATTAATGGGATATGGGGAAAGACCCATTTTGACCATCTCTGTTGCACACTGAGAGCATAGGAAGCCCGTTGCAAATTTTTAGCCCAGCCCAGCAGAAGAGAGACATGCTCGTTTTGACTCATTCTGCACATTTGCAGAACTGCAGTGCAATGGACATTACTACTCTTGGCCAACAGCAGATTCCAGAAGTCGTCCCAGTTGTTATGTTCCCATTCCATGCACTTCCTTATAAAGTTCGCATTTACTCATTGGTCTTCGTTTTTAAACATATACCATATACCCTCTCTCCTGTGCGAGTCATCTAAGAGGTTTTTGAATGGAATGTTCAATTCATAATGTGTATGTATTAACAGTCTTCAAATGCATAAATTCCCAATTTACCACCTCTACACTACATGTTTCGGCAGTATGCTGCCATCTTCAGGTGTATCAATCCATCAACTATTTCACTGCTTGCCTTTATATGTCCATTTACGAATAATATTAAATTTGTATACATCCTTATATAATAATAAAGTTTATGTATTTAAAACCTATTATCTCATATGTCATATTTTAAATTTGTGTGTATTATTGATCATCCACATGGGAGTCGTTCTTCTTATGTTTCTAATGTGTGTATATTATGTCTTATGATGTGTTCTACTCTTGTGGCTGCGTGCGTTGTACCGTTGGATACATACACATTATGAATATGAATCAGTGCAACAGGATGCTAGAATACAACATGGAATGTTCAAGCCTAGCATGAACTTAATCCAGTTTCTAAACAGGCAGTCAGCATTTTGACTCTTCTCCCCCTCAATAGTGATCATGTCTGTCTACATTTATTTACAGTTGTATGAATAGTTTTCCAGTGGTGGAATTTATGCTTGAATCTTTTTACTTTTGACATGGATATTGTGCAGGAACACCCATTTAGTGTGCAACTCTCACAGCATTTTGACACAAGAAGTAATTGATTGATTGATTGATGCAGAGGCAGTGGCTTGGGATTAGAGCCAACAGGCATGTTGTGCTTAAGCTCACTTCATTGTAGCTGCTTGACAGTTTAATGGGGGGAATATTGAAGAGAAATTGTAAGTCTGTAGGCTCTTGTCCTGTCAGCCACACCAGGATACTGAAAGCATGTGGTTAAGATGGAGTGTGTATTCCTTCCCCTGAACCACCAAAACTATATGCAGTAGGCCCTTACATAATCCCCCTGCTTTCCAGAACCTCCTCAAAGTTATATAAATAGCATTCCATCTGACAATATAGCCATACTAACAAAGACACCATCATTAACATTTGACAGCAGCAAGAGTTCTAAGTCAAATTAACAGTTTGGAGTAAGCCCTTAGTAATAGCCGTGTCATAGCTCAAGCAGTTAGTCACTGGCTTCCCACCGTGGTGGCCCAGGTTCGATCCCGGGTCTGGTCAAGTGGGATTTGTGGTGAACAAAGTCACACTGGAGTAGGTTTTCTCTGAGTACTTCGGTTTCCCCTGCCAATCTTCATTCCACCAAATTCTCCATCATCATAATCGCCCGGAGCAGGCTACAATAGGCCAATCAGTGGCCACCGTGCTGAGTGGACCCAGTTGGACTGCACCCCCCACTAAGCAAATTAAAAAAAAATTCTTAGTAATAAATATAATTAAAATCAAAGTTTATACTGATGGATTGTTATGAGATTTAATGCTAAATATTCTAAAACTTTCTTCAGAATTAATCAGATGAATCAACTGCTCAGACATCCATTACATCATAATCAGTTAATGTGTCTGAGTGCTTGAAAAGAAAATGACTAAAATTACTTCCAAGAACCTGGCATTGTTACTGTACCAGCCCATTCAGAAAGTAACAGAAGTTGCACTATATCCAAATGTGTAGCATATGTCCCTTTGCCTCTTAGAAATATGAATATATATCTCTATATAATAAGAATTTTTTTTTTTTTCAGAACCTGGACAACTGTTTCAAGTTTGATACACTCCTCAGAAGTATAAAGCTGTATCACAAGTATTCTTGTCAGCCACTGTCCTTCACAACCAGAAAGCCATCATGTGTGATGAACAAGGTTTGAACTTAGAAGAAATTTTGCATTCTCTTCTGATGGAATGTATGGTGAGTGTTCTGTGCTTGTGTGCCCATCTCCTACCCCCCTGAAAGAGGACTCAATTTCATTTTCCATCTCCTGAAGTCTTTAGAAAAAGGGTAAATCTATCCCCGTAACAGGCCATGAAGGCCCATAGGGTTGTGAGACGTTGAGGCTCCCATATTTTCTGGCTCACAGATGGAGGGAAGGTTGTCAGCCTTACATGCCACCTGCCTTTTACTCCCCAGGAAAATTCCTGGTTCTCATTTCTGTTAAGGCTGAGTTGACCCCAGGGCCATAGTACGGCTGGAAGGTTTAGGTGAATTGAAAAAAAATCCACCTCATCGGGATTCAAACCCATGACTGAAGTCTGTAAAGAAGGTTACAGATTGAAATGGTTATGGTGTTCATATTGTGGCTTTCAATTAAATGAAGTAAAGTGTTAGATACTTAATGACAGCTTACTAATTATGAAGAATTTCTCAGGTATAGTAAATTTAATGTATCCTGTCTCTGTGATTTGCTTATTGTGTTCATCTGTACATTTTAGTCTCTAATTTTTAATTTTAACTGAAAGATGCAATTTATGCATTTAAAAACACTCAAGTGTGCAATAAGGATTCTTATTGAAGAATTAGATGCAATTCAACAACTTGAGTCTGGTATCATTGTACGCCTGATGATGACCCGGTATAAGGGTCGAAACATGTAGCGTCAATAAAACAAATGTTGATACGATAGTATCTATTTTGTTTTAAATACAGAATATTGTTGTGTAGACTGCATACTTTTATATACATTTTATGTACCTTGTGGATGACTCTTCGCTACTCAAGATCTCTTCTCCACGCAATTAATAGTAATGATTTTTATTTTGAGTCTTAGCCTTGTTTTACCCATTAACTTTCATTCTTATATAGTCTGGTTCTTTGTACGTTTATGCCAAGCATTTTATAATGTAATATTATCATGTATCCAGTTTTACCAGTCCTGTAGTTCAGTGGTGTGAATATGTTAATCATGTATTTGCCTGATGATGGCTTTAATAGCCGAAACATGTAGCCGAGCCAATCTTGGCCTTGACCTTGATATTGTTGTGTTGTGACGGATTCTAATAAAGAAATTGTATTGAAAATCTGTCCTATTTCATGTAATGAGGGAGCACTATCGTGATTAAAAAGATATGATAGGCTTACATTTCTGCACATATTTACAGAATGCTGGACCTGATTTGTATAGTGAGACATATTTAACATCTTATGATGAAAATCAGGCCACTGGTGTCAGAGTTGAGGATTTCACATATGCAGAGGATGAAGATTACCTGGAGTCAATATTTTCAGCACTAAAGGATGACCAAGAGGTGAGGTGCATGTTTGTGTGTCCATTTTGTATATAAACTGAATTGCCTGTTGTCTCTCATCTCTGCCTGTCAGTCACTAAACATAAAGTAACATCACTCTGGAAAATGGAAAATCTCATCACAAGAATAAAAGATAAAGCCATAATATGAAGGCAGCTAATACATTCTTTGTAATATGACACCATTCAGATATGGAAGTGATTGTACCAAGTCAGGATTACATCAGAAAAAAATTAAGAGTAGATGATTATCAGAGAATGCTTGGTGCCGCTCAATTCTCGATTCTATGTCTTCCCACCTGCTATTTAATAATGCAAAGACTGAAATATAAAGAGCTTTATTTTTCCTTCTTATTCTGTATGAGTATGTAATTTGTCTCTGCATGATTGCATAGAATGGTGGACCTAGTTTATGTAGCGAGACATGTCTGACATCTCCTCATGATGGAAATAAGGCCAATGATGTCAAAGTTCAGGAGCTAACAGATTCACAAAATGAAAATGGTCCTGAGCCAATACTTTCAGCAGCAAAAGTTGACCAAGAGGTGAGTTTGATGTTTGTATGTCCATTGTTAGACATATTTTGCAAATAAACTGAATTTTTATTGTCTGTCTGCCTTTCAGTACAGATGAAGCAAGTTCACTCTGGTGAATGGAAATTCTCATCACATGAATGGAAAATAAAATTATTATATATGAGGTAGTTATAATAAATTCTTTGAAAATGTGGTGAAGTTTAAATATTTGGAAATTATTTTACCAAATAAGAATTACATCACAAAGACATTAAGAAGAGATTAAAAGCAGGGAGCACTTCATACTACTCTGTTCACAATTCTTTGTCTTACCACCTGCTGTCTAAAAACACAAAGATGAAAAATGTATAAAGATCTATGTTTTTGCCTGTTCTGTATAAAAGTGAAATTCCTCTTCCCCTCAGACACATCAGATGTATATTTTTAATCCACCATCTGTTCTAAGGTCTGCAGGTGCTCTCAGCTGGCCCCAGTCATCTTTGGCTATGCTGCATTCTGTTGCATCTTCACCATCATTGGTTTCATTTAAACTGATTCCACATTGAACTGATAATGAAGTTGGAATGACCTGATTATTCCGTGGAGAATGCTGTAGAGTCTGAGAGAAAAACAACTTTCACGTTCGTTAGGTAACGTGTTTTGGGGAAGAACAGCACACAGGTCAATTACAAGTAAAATCTTTCTATTTTTGAACTCATTTTGGCATCTAATGCCCTTAAACCATCAGTAAAGCTGGCCTGCTTAAACCCATGCTTTACTGTTAGCTACATATTTTGTGGGTAGCTTTCTGAAATTTTTAAGGCACTGGGGGTTTTCACTCTTCCCAGTGAATAATTGTGGGTGTCTGTCAGTCCCATCAGCACTGCAGGCTAACAGAAATATTGTCCTCTCGTTGGAATTCTTTCCATCATTGCAGCAATCCCCTTTCAGATGCAATGTCTTGTGAGGTGGATGCCTGAAGGACAGCCAGGGCTTCTCAGCATTGAAAGTGATTTTAGGTTTGTAACCCAACAACAGTTTGGGGGTATGCGGTAGCATAGTTGGTTGAGGCACTGTGCTACAAGCTGGAAGATTGTGGGTTACATTCCCAATGAGGTCATTGGATTTTTCAATTGACCAAATCCTTCCAGCCGCATGGCACTGGGATTGACTCAGCCTCTAACAGAAATGAGTACCAGGAAACTTCCTGGGAGTAAAGGATGACCAGCATGTAAAGCTCACAACCTCTCTGCTATCTGTGAGCCAGTTGTCTAGAAAATGTTGGAGCCTCGACATCTCACAACCTTATGGGCCTCTGCAGCCTGTTACAGGGATACCTTTACCTTTTCTTCCCCCCTCCCACAGTCATTTGGAGTAATTGTTCCTTTCGCCTTTACCCCACTGTTGAAGAAAGTACATTTTTTAACTGTTCCAGTACAATTTTATACATGACACCATGCCACTGCTTGAAACTGGCAATCCAGCCATTAGAAGGTTTAAAGTCTTCAGTGCCCAACCTTGTGGCAATGTGTAGAGCTTTTCTCTTGGCAATTTGTCCCTGAATACAGCATTGCTGCCTCTAGCTTGTTTGAGCCACATGGCTTAGCTTCTCAAGGACTCTGCTTTCTGGAGTTTAGTTAGGCATAATTGTGAGTAGAATATCAAAATTGAAAAGTGTAATTAATAATTTATTTGGGATATTACAATTAATAATTGGAACCGAGAGTACAAATCTTTTTTTTTATGACAGGTGATCCTGTTTCTTCTTGTAAACTATATAAAACTGTTAGTGTACACATGAATGTAGTCCATCTACAATGGTACCAGTGACTTGCATACCACTGCAAGATATAGTTGCAGGTTCTGTCCACATTTAGATAAGTTTTACCGGTTCTCTTTCCTCATGTCAGAATGACTCTTTTAAGAAGTATATTCCAGTACTTAAATATATTTCATATCAACATGATGGAAAGGCCATGCCATAGTGCAGACAAATAGTCACCAGTTTCCCACTGTGATGGCCCAGGTTCCATCCCAGGTCAAGTAATGTGGGATTTTTGGTGGATAGGTGGCACTGGGGCCAGGATCTCTTAAATATTTTGGTTTCTCCTGCACATTCTAATTTCACCAGCTGCTCCATATTCATTAATCATCCTCTCACCAATGCTATATAGTCACAGTAGTAACAGCACTGAAAAAAAAGATAACTTCTTTTATGCATGTTGAACCACATGTTTTGTGACTTTCACAGCAGCATTCTTGATTTAATTCCGTCAAAAATGTTGATTCATCAAGAACAGTCCACAGAGACCACATTTAGTCTTGTGTGGTCCTGTAGTCCTGCTGAAATTGTGTGCCATTCTGAATGAGCTAGTGTTATAAAATGTAAGGGAATTAGGATTGTTGAATCACTTANTTTGTGTGGTCCTGTAGTCCTGCTGAAATTGTGTGCCACTCTTCAAAGAAAGGTTCCACAGTCAATATTACACGTATATGCCATTCTGAATGTGCTAGTGTTATAAAATGTAAGGGAATTAGGATTGTTGAATCACTTACAGCACATAACAAAATTTCTGGGTTCGATTCCCGGCATTACCAGATTTTCTGAAAAGTAGAAGTCTGGAACGGGGTCCACCCAGCCTCGTGACGATAATTGAGGAGCTGTTTCAAGGAAATAGCAGCTCTGGTCTAGAAAACCGAAATTAACGGCCATGGAAATTCATTGTGCTGACCACGCGACACCCTCTATCCACTAAAGTTGGTACTAACTTCGCCGACAAGTGGCAGTCGCTCGGTCGGTATAGTTAGCTTGCGGTCAAAAATCGCGGTTCTTTTTTTTTCTGTAGGTTATGGGACACAGTGCAGTACATATAATTTAATAATTATTTCTCGCTTTGGCAGTGGACTCTGAATGAACGTCAACTTGCACATGGTGAGGATCATCCATATTCCTGTGATGTGTGTAACAAGTCATTCAGCGTGAAAGGTCATCTGGAGACGCATCAGTGCATACATGGTGGGAATCGTCCATTTCTCTGTGATGTGTGTGATAAGTCATTCAGCTGGAAGAGTGATCTGAAGACACATCAGCGCATACATAGAGGGGAGTGTCCATATCTTTGTGATGTGTGTAATAAGTCGTTCAGTCGGAACAGTAATCTGAAGAGACATCAACATATACATAGTGGGGAGCGCCCATTTCTCTGCAATGTGTGTGACAAATCATTCAGTTGGAAGAATGATCTGAAGACACATCAGCGCACACATAGTGCAGGCTGCCCAAATCTCTGCAATGTGTGTGATATGTCGTTCATTTGGAAGAGCGATCTGGAAAAACATAAACGCACACATAGTGGGGAGCGTCCATATCTCTGCTACACATGTAATAAGTCATTCAGTAGGGACAGTAATCTGAAGAGACATCAACGGATACACAGTGGGGAGCGTCCATATCTGAAGGCACATCAGCACATACATAGTGGGGAGCACCAATATCTGTGTGATGTTTGTAATAGGTCATTCAGCACGAAGGGTATTCTAAAGATACATCAAAGCACACATCATGGGCAGCGTCCGTATCTTTGTGATGTGTGTGAAAAGTCATTCAGTAGGAAGAGTTGTCTGAAATTGCATCAACACACACACAATGGGAAGCAGCCATATCTCTGTGATGTCTGTAGTAAGTCATTCAGCATGAACAGTCATCTGAAGAGACATCAGCGCGTGCATGGAGGGGAGCGCCCGTACCTCTGTGATGTGTGTGATAAGTCGTTCAGCTGGAAGAGTGAACTGAAGACACATCAACACATACATAGCGGGGAACGTCCATATCTGTGTGAAGTTTGTAGTAAGTCATTCAGTATGAAGAGTATTCTGAACGCGCATCAACGCACACATATTAGGGATCGCCCATATCTCTGTGATATGTGCCATGTGTCATTCAGTAGGAGGAGTCATCTGAAGTCGCATCAACGTGCGCATAGTGGGGAGCGTCCATATCCCTGTGATGTGTGTGATAAGTCATTTAGTAGGAACAGTCATCTTAAGACACATCAGCGCACACACAGTGGAGAGCGTCCATATCTCTGTGATGTGTGCAATAAGTCATTTAGTAGGAACAGTCATCTGAAGACACATCAGCTCATACACAGTGGAGAACGTCCATATCTGTGTGATGTGTGTAGTAAGTCATTCACTAGGAAGAGTTATCTGAAGACACATCAGCATGTACATTGTAAAGTGTGATAGTCTTTTGATGTTTGTAATTAGTTATTCATTTGTCAGAGCAATCTCCAGCATTATCAGTGCATACAGAGTGCAGTGTACCTATGGTCCCCTTTATGCGTACAGTACGTTGGACGAATTTTAAATACAAGATGAACTACACTTTTTATAATGCTGTTTATATTGGTATATTGTATAAAAGACTTAAAATTTGATTTTTGTATATATATTTTTAAGGAATGAGTGTAGTAAGGTATTAATGTTTAGTTGATGAATTGTACATCTTGGTTAAATTATTGAATTGTATAATTATTGTTCCTTCTATGAATGTGGCTGTAAGAGCACTAGTTTCTCTTCTCAGAACCAATATACAGGGTGTTTCACGACTTTAGGGCATAACTGCAGGAGGTGATTTCCTAGGTCTTTGTGATCAAAAAAGTTCATATAAACATGTGACAGTTTTTTCATTCCCATTACATGCCCTCATGTGAACTGTATCTATCATCTGGCAGGTCATTATTTTTAGCCAGCTACAGACAGCTATCTTGTTATCTCAACGCTTGAGAGGTACCTAAGGCGTGGTGGGTTGGTATGTCCGACCATGGCTAGTGTGGCGGCTACTGGTGTTCAGAACAGTTCTCATCTCGGTGCATCTGTTACATTCACGATGCCATTTACATTTTCATTTGAGGAGTATGCAGATATGATTTATGTGTACGGGGTTTGTGACGGTAACTCAGTTCTTGCCGTAGCTGAATGTCAGCAACAGTTTCTGAATTGTAGAATACCGAACTGGAGAGTGTTTACTGGAGTTTACCAGGCATTGCGAGATGCCGGTAGACTTCCCGGCATTCATATTGCAGCCAAGTAGTGTTAATGAAGGTGTCAGTGAAGAAGGCATTGTTCCTATGGTACACTGCAGTCCACGTATAGGTACACAATTTAATCACAATGGTGTCAATAATACACACAATTCTCATTTGTGGAAAGATGAGAATCCCCACGCCACTGTTGAAAGCAACTTTCAACAACGTTTCAGTGTCAATGTGTGGTGTGCAGTTCTGGACGATAAGCTGATAGGTCCTTTCATCTTGGAAGGTCGTCTTACAGGAGAGGCGTACCTCACATTTCTACAGGAGGAATTGCCTCAACTTTTGGAGGATGTGCCTTTGGATAAACGAAGTTGTATGTATTTCCAACACGACGGGGCTCCTCCTCATTCTTCACGTGGAATTACAAATTTCCTGAACTATCGTTTCCCTGGGCGATGGATTGGGCGTTGCGGTCCCCACCACTGGCCAGCCAGGTTTCCAGGCTTAAGCCCACTGGATTGTGTGTGGGGGATGGATGAAAGAACTGGTTTACAATGTGAAGGTGGCAATGCGAGATGCTTTGCTCGGTTGCATTCTGGACGCCGCTGACCACATAAGAGACAGCCAGCTGAAGCTGCTACATGCTACCCGTGCGGTTCACAACCAAGCGGCAGCCTGTGTTGAAGCCGGCAGTGGCATTTTCCAAAATCAGCTTTAAGCACCAATAAATTCAAATTAAGGGTAATTTCAAGAAGTTAACTTTACATTCATACTTTAAATGTATCATGTATTATGCTGGTTTATTATTTTGTTCCGTTTATTGTCAGTAATCGTTACCTTCTATTCTGAGTTTAAAATGGTCATAACTCCATAACCGTCCAAAATCGGACACGTGTTTATATGAACTTTTTTGATCACAAAGACCTAGGAAATCACTTACTGCAGTTATGCCCTAAAGTCGTGAAACATCCTGTATATAAATTGTGACATGTTCTGTATCTGATGGCTTTGGTAGCCACTAAGGATCTATGGAAATTAAAATAAAGATACAAAATACTTTTCTGCTATCAGAATCACAATGAATATAAACTCGAGCATATTGGATATATGCAGGAATGTTATAGGATTGTTGTAATGTGACATGTAAAGCAGGGTTATTCAAAGTTCTGTTTGAGTGAATGATATGAAACGGAACTGTGTGTGTCTCCTGACATCCTGCCTCATTCACATCGCCCTTTTCTCTTTCTTATGAGAAATGTTCTTGACTGTCATCTTATGGTGATTTGTACCAAATATCACTTCCCAAGTCTAAAATAATTGTAGTAAATAAATAATAAACATTTCTGTGGATTTCTTCACATACATTCATTATGGATTAAGTATAATTAATTTGTATTTATATAACTGATGGGATTTGTCTTGTTGTCTTTGACTATTTCTATATCCACTGGTCTTCCAGCCATATAAGGATCCATGGAATGTAAATAAACGAATGAATGAATCTGACTTGTAAGTCTGTGCTCAAGATCCTCAACAACTACCATCTGTTTGCACAGTGTAAACTGCTCAGGCATTCAGATGAAAGAGTTTGACACTCCTTCAGTGTGATGGGATGACAAAAATATGGACTACTAGCAGAATCTGCAATGCTATTGCCTAGACAGCAGTGGTGCTAAGGTGCATCTTTGTGGAACTGCAGACTTAATGACAAATGAAAAGAATACATTGAGAATTATAAATAAGATGAAAGTGTATTGGTCAAATAGCCATTGAATCATGACAATCAGAAGGTCCCCCATAATTACTAAGATTATGAAGAAGTAAATTGTAATGATAACAGAATTACTTAAATAGTTTTCCCTTGACTATCCAGGTAAGGCATAACAGTATATAAACATCTGTAACCAAAGTGGTGCCTCATTTCACACGGCTGCAAAGATCTCGGTTACTGCTGAAATTGAAAATAGACTTTGATGGTTTAAGGTGCTTTATAGCCTTGCTGACTTGAGCAGCAGAGATGGGATCCATAGGTAAAACACTTGCCGTCACAATAAAAGTAGTGACAGACAAAATGTAAGCAATGGGTATAAAGCATAGTGGGTCAGTGTGTGTACCACGAGTGTTTAGGTGGGGGTAAAGCTGCTCAAATTATTAACCTCAACATTAGATGGAAGTGAGTGACTGGCAATATTTTGAGGGAAAGAGCCTGGGTGAACTCCAGTATTGGTTTGGATCTGTAGTGAAAAATCTCTGCTCTTACTAGGAATTAGACATTGTTTCATCCAGTTTACTGACTGTCATTCCATTCTCATATATGAAGAGGTAGTTAGTAGCCTTTGTATGTGGTGGGTGCATATTCTTCACCCTAATCCAGTTTGATCAGGTTTAGTGTAATACATTCCACACTGCAAAGTGTTTATTTTATGCTGATGTTTAATTCACATCTGGAATATTTTTAATGCATTAGTGCAATGATGAGGCCATACAGATAAGTATCACAGTACTTAATTCTTGGTGCTTACTGTTGTGCCTGCACCCAGCACCTTTTGGCCTATGTCAACAAAACCCAAAGTGCTTTTCTGTTGATAAGGTTATGAATAACGTGGAAGGCTAGAGGAAGGAATATACTGGCAATCCACTGGAAGGGGAACCTTAACAACTTACTATAGGTGAGGTGTTGATCCATGGGAATTATTTCCTTGGCTCCAGTACAATTTTGAAATCTCTGTAAATACAAACATTAACAATTAAGATACCTATTCAGACTGTGCCAATTTTATTCAGAACCAAGGAATCTGAGAACAAAGTCAGAAACAGCAAATCAAATTTGTAATTTGAAGAAATGTAAACTAAACCGAGTCATATATATTTTTTAACCCATTCAGTATGGCACAGTTGGCTGCAGCTGATTGAAGCCTTTCATAAAAGGCAATTAATTTGCTTCTACTTATGTATTAAATAACATTAATTTGAATGCTAAAAATATAAAATTTCACCCAGCCGGAAAAGAGCTTGAATAATTCACTTTATACGACTAACCTTTAATTTAGTGTTTAAAATTTAAAATATCCCGTGAAACTAATCACGGATTACAAAGTAGTAACCAAAGAGTAACGACTAACTGTACTGTTTGTTTAGTACGCGCGTATGTTCCCTGATTGCTATGAAAAGAAGTCAGTTAAGGTAGCCATTATGAGGGTGAGGTAATGTGGAAATTTGTATCGGTTTAATCTTTTTTCTTGACTGAAAATAAGAAAGTGGAGACATGTGGTTTAAAAAACCAGCAATACGTTTGTGAATAGTGAAATTATAACATGATGCAGGTAAGAATTAAGTATCTTTTCTGCTGGTAATGTTTAGGAATTTGCACGTGTATGATAATGTCCAGAAGCGTTAAGTTATTGTAATATTAGTCTGGTAAGGTAAGGTAAATTTGTCCCTGTGCTTAACTTATTACGCCATGAAGACGTATGGGAGAAGTCTGATACAAGGAAGAAATGAAAATAACGTTTTATCGTGTAAATAGTATTTGGGGCAAAGTACGGAATAGGGCGTTACTCCGCACATGATGCTTGTGGTACTGTATTGGTTATGTATTTTTAGTAATATTTTAGCCATTAAGAGGTAGCACATTCTTTGAGCACTTCTATAAACATGTGTTCAAAATATGCAGTTAAAGAAAACTTCAGATTGTACAGAATATGAGTACAAAATTTATAAATGTTTTTTTTGTTCGTGTAGAGAGGGAGAATAAATGAGAATGGTGGAGGGAAAAATATATGGACATAACAGCAAGTAATGAAATGAATGAGAAAGTGGTATAATAAGGAACTTAATCTGTATTCATCATATATTTTTGTAGTAACACCAAGTATGAGTAGATGGATTGGACATGTAGGACAAATGAGAGAGGTAAGAAATGCTTAAAAGAATTTTTCAGAGATGCTTCAGGGAGGCAGGTCTTGTGTTTGTTATTTTATGGCATTGTCAGGATTTAGATTGTATAGCATCTAATGGCAGAATGGTGAATGAATTTGAAAGTATTTGGAAGAAATCAGCTATTTTCTGATCGAGACAGTATCCTAACACTTGCCTGGAGCAACTGAGGGAAACCACAAAGAACTGCAGTAAGGCTAGCCGTTGTGCCGGCAACATTTCAAAACAAGGATCTTCCATATACAAATGTAGAGCATTACCACTGCACCAATCTGCTTGTTGAGACCTAGGCATAGAAGGGAGGATACTATTAATATGGATCTTAATGAAGTCAGTGTGGAGGTATAGGCTGGAATTGGCTGGCACAGGATGTGGTCTAGTGGCAAGTTCTTTTGAACACATTGATGAACCTTTGGGTTCCACAAAGGGTAGGGGATTTCTTGCCCAGCCAAGTGACCATTAGTTCTTGAAGAGAACTTCTGAATGAAGTTACTTACATAGTTCATATTGTTTAAAATGAACTTAGAATACAAGAAGTTCTGGAAGAACTAATTGCCTACTTTCCTTTGATATGACACGAACTATATAGAAAATGACGCCTCCAACAATTCTTTGTTGGCACAGGAATGTGTTTACCGAGCCATTGCCTGGCAACGATTGGGGAAGGGGGATAGGGTGAAAAGGTAAAACTATCGCTGTGACAGGCCATGAAGGCCCATAGGGTTGTGAGACATTGAGGCTCCCAAATTTTTTCTAGACAGTCAGCTCAGAGATAGTGGTGAGGTTGTCAGCCGTACACGCCAGCCACGCTTTACCTCCAGGAAGATTCCTGGTACTCATTTCAGTTAGTGGCTGCAAAGGTTAGGTGAATTGAAAAATCCAGTGACCTTCCAGCTTGTAGCATAGTGCCTCAACCTACTATGCTACTGTGTAACCCCATAGAGGGGAATACCCATATTTATACATTTAATTAGCACAGAAAACTTATTTTATGAAATTATGTTTTCGGATAAAGCTTGAGTGTGTGGTACCACATGCATTGACAGCCATGAAGCTTGAGTTTGCAGTACACCCAGTTCCATAGTGATTGTGTGCATCAGGCTGGTGTTCAGCATAATTATGTTGGGCCAGTTGGAATGCTGTGCCTACTTTTAGGTTATTTTATTTGCATATGAATGTAATTTCAGAGTCAGGATAGCTCAGTTGGTATTGTGAGGGGCTGGATGGCCAGGGTTTGATTCTTGGCAGAGGCAAAATTTTTCTCTTCTCCATAACAACTATCTCTGGTGCTCATCCCTCCTATCCAGCGGGTACTGAGGGCTCTTTCCCAGGGTGTGAAGCTGAGATCATGAATGATGGAGCTGTACCTCCACTCCCCCATATGTCTTCAAGGCATAATGCTTTATTAATTAAGTACAGGGACAACTTATAATAATATTTAGTCTTGCACTAAATTGCTGTATGTTACGTGTTGTCTGATACATAGGACAAATAGTGTGAAACTCTCTTCATGGAATTACAATTTACAAGATTTATATAATTGTTACTATTTTTTGTGCAGTCATGGGATGGCGGCAGAGAAGACGTTGCAGTTCCAGATGAGGAGCCTCATTGACTTTGATGCAACAAGGACCATCCAGGAAGCCCACCACTTGCACGTGATCCAGGAGGGGCCTGTTCACCTAACACCACTGAAGAAGCCACCCCATTGCTGCATATTGATTATGAGGTAATTGTTACCTTCTGTTGACAGTTCCAGAATGGTGTCTTCAAGCCCAGTGTGACAGCATAAGTGAATCAAGTAGTTACCTTTCGGCACATTGTACAACACCCTCCCTGCCTTCTATTTCTCCCTTTTTTTAAGGTCATCTGAACATGTGGGCTGCTGGTGACAATGAAAGTACCTAATTGCAAGCAGAGTGAGGAGCGTTAAGAGAGCTTATCCCCCATACGCTCTCTGTAAGGATTGCATGGGCATCACGTCAGAAGCTGATTTAAAGGTGTGTTCTGGTTCAGGAAATAGGTGCGCCTGTGAAGAAACATATAGAGCCATAGTTCCTAACGTCTTGAAGCATGAATATACCTTTGCAACTTCAAAACATTTTGCAAATCTGCATATAATATCCGTCCCTTTTGGCTTTGTTAATTGAGAAGATATGTGAGAGAAAGTCATAATGAACCCAGAAACTGTCATCAATGAATTCACGTTTTATTCATCACAATAAGGTATCTTCCATTTTACAGATTTTCATTACAATGAAGCATGTTAATTTGTATTTGTCTTTCACTTAAAACAAGCTTCATTTTCGTTGTAACAGACAACCTATGTTTGTAAGTTCCATGACACTTACATGTGAAGTAATGGGAGTTAATATTCAATTTATGAATTACCTATGTAAAAAGAGGGGAAAACAGTAGTATGTGCACAAAACATTATTTAATCAGTGTGCAGGATGTACATTTAGACTCAGTCAGTGAAATTGCTGGAACTGTTTTGTGGCTTTAAAGAGATTGGATGTCCGGTTGAAACTGATAATTTCAACCTTAAATCTGGTAACCTGAAACCTAAAAGGAGCCGGGATAGCGCATTCATTATAGTGACTGGCTGCGGGCTGGATGACTAAGGGTTTGGAGTAACAATTACCTCTTCTCCAGTCGTCCAGACCGGCTCTGGGGTCCACCCAACCTCCTGTACAGAAGGTACCAGAGGCTCTTTCCGGGGTTAAAGCGGCCGGGATGTGAAGCTGACCACTCACCTCCAACTGGTGCTGAGGTCAAGAAAATGTGGCTCTATGCATCCATTCCCCTATACATCTTCATGGCGTAGTGCTTAACTAATTAAGCCCAGGGTCAACTTCACCTATTTTTACCATTTTTTAGCCTGAAACCTAAAGAGGCAGAAATAAATGTCCTGGCCCTAATCAGTTAATATACACCACTGTGGATTCTGTTACTGGGGTAATATGCTTAAATGATTTGGTTCATTACATAAGGCATCTGGGCTTGAAACGTGGTTTGGAGAATAAACATATCTTGAAATGTATTAAAGGATAAATTTGCTTAAAAAGTTCATGACAGTGTGAACTTGTAAGGTGGAAATATGTTGTACGCCAGAAACTTACAGGATATTTTAACATTATGTGCTTATCAGCCGTGTGTTTGGACTTCTAAAACAAAGCCTTACCTGGAAATGGTGTATAGCATAGGAAGCCCTGACTTGAAACAGCTGCAGCGATGCTGGACTGACTGAGGAGAAACATGCAGAGCTTAGGTATCAGTAACTCTAAGTGGACTGCAGATAAATGGAAGTACCTGGGAGGAACCATGGAAAACTTACGGAATCTTGCGTAACTGTGCAAGAAGACCTTTTGAAACTATACCATCCCTCCTCCCTGAGAGTTATAAAGATAAATTTATTCCTGTAACAGGCTGTGGAGGTCTGTAGGGTTGTGAGAGGTTGAGGCTTCCACATTTTCTAGACAGTGGGCTCACAGATGGCAGTAAGCTTATGAGCCTTACACACCGGCTGCCCTTTACCTCCAGGAAAATTCCTGGTACTCATTTCTGTTAGAGGCTGAGTCAACCCCAGGGTCATAGTGCAGCTGGAAGAATTAAGTAAATTTAAAAAATATCCACTTCATTGGGGACTCGAACCCATGACCTTCCGGTTTGTAGCATAGTGCCTCAACCAACTATGCTAACCTACACCCACCCCCGAGTTGTCGCTGTGTGTAAGGTAGTTCAATATAAGTGAAAGTGCTGGGACCATCTTGTGAATGGTACTGTCTGTTGACATGAGTTCATTGGAGGCGTCGATAAGTTGCCGTGTCCAGTACTGGTGAGCCTTCACAGCTGGATCCAGGTGTGGCTGCCCCTGAACACATGAGCTTCTGTGTGGGCCCTTTCTTTGAGATATGTTGTCTGGATCATGTAGGATGTTAAGATACACACATACTTAACCTTGGCACTAGATAACGGTGAAATTCCTATTTAGTGTGACTGTGGTTGAAACACAGCCGGTATTCACATTTTCTCTTTGCTGCCAGTCATTCTCAGCTGTAATCTTTAATAAGTGACATTTTGCATGAGTTCTGAATTTCATCAGTATTACTTTTCCTGTTTGTTATCAGTTACAGCATCTATAAAGAGAAAGAACCTTAACAGTAAGCAAAAAAAAAAGTTAGAATTGGTAGTTTTTAATTTCTTAATAACCCGTTATTAGTGCGAGAAAAACCATTCACTTGGAGAATTGTCAGATAATTCATACTTCCCCCCCCCCCAAATTGTGTATTAAAGAAACTGAGTGAGTGGTTTTCATGAGAAATTACGAACGTCTGACTGCCTGCTTCTTTAGTGTTTCCACTTTTATGTGGGCTGCCTGGCAGTCAGGTCTCTCCTGTCTCACATCTTCCTTGTGGGTAAAAAAGAGGTAAAGTTGTCCATGTGCTTAACTAATTAAGCACAATGCCATGAAGACATGTGGTAGTGGATGTATAGATCCACATTTTCTTGACCTCGGTGCTATTTGGAGGTGAGTAGTCAGCTTCATGTCCCAGCCGCTTTACCCCCGATACCCATTGGATAAGAGAATGGGTGGGCCCAAGAGCCTGTCTGGGCGATGTGGAGAACATTCTTGAGCTCCAACCCCTCGGTTGTCTGGCCCATAACCAGTTGCTATACCGGCAACCCTATCCCAGCTCCCCTTTCCTTGTGGGTATTTTCTTTTTAATATCACTTCCAAGGTATTTTTGGGATTGTATCCTCATTCACACTTATGTCCATGCTATCTTACTCTGTTATTTATTAATTTTTCTTGCACTGGTTTCTGTGTGACATACTTGTAAAAGTGAATCATTTTCTTTTATGATGTGGCTATTCCCTAAATGTGGTATATTGGTAACAAAAGGTAGCTCTTTTTCAGACTGTTCTTGTCCTTGCTAAGTTTGATTATATTTTGTAACTTTTTTTGGTAGGGTGGGGATCACATTGGTAAAATAGGATTGTAGGTTCATGTAGGGAGAGCCACTGATTTAGCTTGTACACTGGTTGAAATTTTCCAGTGAAAAGGGTGTATTGGAGAGCCTGTACATGGAATCTTTATGGCTTCATTGTTGCTGAAGTGTAATAAGTACCAAATTTGTTCAGTTAAAAATTGCGATTTTTAAGAATGGTTGTACAGGGAAAATAATTTGAAATATTGATGTCTGATGATTTCATTGTTTTGGGGGAAGGTATAAACTTTATTCTGATATTGATACAGTTAGGCTTTCGCACAGCGGTTAGAAAAAGCCATTTCCAGTAAAGACTGACCACAATTTCAGAAATTCTGGGCTGTGAGGAATTGTGGTTTCTTTCAGACATGAGCAAAATTCTCCTCCTTCTCTGGAGCCTCTACACAAAGTCTTGGGCCCATCCATCCTCCTACACAGTGGGTACTGGGGGGTGTTTCTCCAGAGGTGAAGTGGCAGGAGCTAGAAGCTCTCTGCTCACTTTCATCTGGTGCTGAGTTTAAGAATGCATGCAGCTTTATCTCCATTACCCCATGTCGTCATGGTTTAGTGCCTCATTCATTAGGTACAGCGCTAAGTTTACCTTAACTTACCTGGTAATATGTATTCAAGTCTGTAAATTAGGGGTAATGTCATTCTTTTTATTGTGCATGACTGCTCCCACCTACAGAATCGTTATCAATATTGCTGTGATTGCTCTGACTAAAAGCATGGGCACATAGCTCTGCCAGTAATTCCTTTTCAGAAGAAGCAGCCTTTCTTTTGTCTTATGCCATTTCCATTCAGCTGAACCAAGTTGATGTAAGTTGTGCAAAAATATAGCCTTGAAAACATTTATACAAATATATGCAATACCAAACAGTTTGAAGTGGGCTACCGGGCGTGTCAGTTGTGTTTAAGCTTTTGATATCGTGACTTTTCAGTCACTCTGTAGGCTGTTCTGAGTAGGAACATTATGAAGCAGGCCCATTTTACAAGCAGTTTTCAGTCATCCACAGAGAGTATAATTATCCCTGAAGTACCAAGTCATTAAGGTGTAGGGGGGAGTGAATGTATGGCTCCACATGTTCATAACCGTGATATTCTGTGGAGGTGAGTCAGTAGAGAGCGTAGCAAGTGTGAAATGATACACGTAACAATTCACGTAAAATATTCAAAATGCTTATTATTCTTGTTTATGATACTTCTTGTACCATGTGATTTCCATTCCCTTAGGGCTAAGATCATAGTTGCAAGAACTCGTGTCAGGATAGATGATAGGGCGTGAATATGTGTTAGTCATACTAACCTGAAAAAGAATGTCCTGTCTAAGGTTTGCAGTAACCATTATTATTTGTATACACAAGAAAATTGATGTCCAGTTTCAGGTGATAACCTTGCCCACTTCATTTATGTGAAGATAGGAGACGTGATGTGTGAACAGAAACATAAATCAGTTTACCTCAGTATTTTGTTTTGACACAAACAGCTGAGTTCATGAAGCAACTGGCTGTGGGTTTGATTCTTAGCAGGGATGACATCCATACTGCTACTGCTGCAGTTTCACCTCCATGGCCCCTACATACTTTTGCTGCTGCTAGAAAATACTGTGACATTACGGGGAGGTGTTTAATGTACTACTGTCCCCCCCCCCCCATCTTGAGTAACATGTATCCAGTTTTGAAGGAGGAGGCAGTCAGTTGCTGCGAAACATTGCGGATTCTGTATATCGTGGTTTGTTTGTTCACAGTTTGGTGCAGAGCAAGCGAGCGAGCGCGTAACAACAGCCTGGATCAAATTTGATGTGTGCAGGACACTTATACGGTCTACAAAATGAAGGTAATACAGTGGAAGCTCATTAATGGTTCTTTCTTACAAGTTTTTAATGATGCAACTTTCTGAAAGGAAAATGTTGTGATATAGCAAATGTTTTGACTTCATAACTTACTTGGCAGTGATAAGGTTCATAGTGTACTATATGCTGACGAGTGACCATTTTTAGAACTAAATGTATAAGCAGGGTGGAGGGAAAGCTGTAACTTGTTAGTGGGTGGTTTAAAACACGGATGGGAAATCAGTTAACATTTTACAAGCACACCAGATTATTTTTGGTTCAGAATTCATATGCATCTGTCAACAAAACAGGCAAATGCCAGACTATGTTGCAGATATATATATGTTTGCCAGTTACATTATGCTGTAATATATAGGAAGTTCTGATACATTATAGTTTGTTTCTGTAGAAACTGAACATAAAATTTCACTGCATACTGTTTACATGAGATACATACAGGGACTGGACAAAATAATGGAAACACTATAGATGCTATACACATGTCTTTATTATGATGGTGTTGGACCACCTTTTGTCTTCATTTCAGCCATAATCCTTCAAATGGACTTGTACAAGTTTTAAACAGTTTCTGGTGGAATTTTAAACCATTCTTCTTGAAAGAACATCTTCAGTTGCATTAGAGATGTTGGGGGTGGGAATTTGTTCCAAACTGACCATAGTGATTCAGTGATGTTCAAATCTGATGATTGTGCTGGCCAGGGAAGATGCTGAAATTCACTGTCATTCTCTTCTGAACAGTTTCATCTTTTTGAATGGGGGCATTGTCATCTTGGCAAACTTCATCAGTGTTCGGAAATGTCTGGATCATGCACCTGATTACAGTAATTTGGCCATGAAGGTTAATTATGAGACCAACAGAATATTATACCACAATATGCCCTGTGTTTCACTGTTGGAACCAGACATTCCAGATTGTAGGTTTCTTTTGGTGTTCTCCAAAGATAAACTTTTCCTGACGTAAGGAACAGCATGAAAGACGATTCATCTGACCATGTCGTGTGCATTTCCATTTGTCTGATGTCCAGGTTTTATGGCCGTGATACCATCGTTCACTCATCAGAGCATTACTTGCAACGCTCAGTTCAAGACAGTTTTTGTGGGTACAGGGTCTGCAAGATGAATATTCGTTTCTGCTGTCACCTGTGCTGCAGTAATATTGTGATTTCTGGCCACTGTCACTTTCGATACACCTAATAATATGTCAGTTTTTGTCATGGGTGCTCCAGCCAAATGTGTGCCAATGATCTGCCCTCTTTGAATACAATCACTACAACGTGTAAACAAATGGAAGAACATTCATTGTTACAACACAAATTCTGTTCTTCAATTGCTTAAAGTTTCCATTATTTTGTCCACCCCTTGTATCAGCTGAAAACTAAACGTAGCAAGTCATTGAGAGCAAAAAATATTATTGTTGAATTATGTCCCCATAGTGTAGTGTAGAGTTCAGTTATGGCAGTGGTTGCAATTACAGGGCATACTGTCATTAGCTGTACAGTAGCAGATTATTTCTAGTATTATTGTTAGGATACCATTGTAATTTATTTAGGGAGATTTATCAATGAGTATTTGATTTATGAACATATGGAAGAAACATATTCCAGAGATCTGAGTTTGCATGTGGAGGGTTACAAGAATAGAGCATTTTTATGTGGTTTATGTAAGATATTCCATTTAATGTCCGTATAAATTATGGGCACAGGGAAGGTAATAGCAGAACTGGTGAATTAAGATAGTGGTTTTCTGGGTTGTGACACTTTGTAGTCTTTTTTTAGGCAGCAGTTGTAGAGAAATGTTGACAATCTGAGGCACTGGCAGGTATTCAGGTAGAAATTGCGAATAACTGTGTGGATATGTAGCCAGTAGATTGTTCAAAATGCATCTTGCCTTACTTGAAGTGGAGGCACAGGGGAGCCATTCTCCAGTTCCCTACAGTAGGCTTGTGTGGTCAGGGTAAAGCAATGGAGCCTGATGTCTCCCTCTTCCCCACAAGTTGTCTATGACAGTAATATATTGGCCACCATGGTTTAATGCTGTTAGTTGTTGTTATGTTTCCAGAGTGAAATTCAAAATATTTTGCATTTTATTTTTTTTGGGGGGGGGATAGCAAGCATGTTACTTCATCAGTGGACTATAATAAGGGCTTTATCATTGTCAAAATTAGTAACAATTTGTTTTGTTCATCATATAGTGTGTTTTTATTTCAAAAATTTTCTTACAGCATTTCATGTTTCACAGCAACTTACTGCCCCCTCTTTAAGTTACTTGTACCAGGTGCAAGTAACTTAAAGGGGAGGCAGTAAGTTGCTGTGTGGAGTATACAGTTCTAATTTTGTTTTGTTTGTCCACAGGTTGGAGAGAACACAAGGATGCTCGTGGATGGCTTCGCACTGGGGAGGACATGTGTGGGGTCCCCACCAAATTTTGTTTTCTACGAGATAGTGCGCAGCAGGAACTTCAACATTTTCCAACAACACACACCAGGAAAGCTCCTCTCCATTCATCACGTTGCTGCTCCACAATAATTGATGAGAATTGCATTTGATTGAAATCAGTGAACACATTGTTGTGATGGTATTATGTGTAAGTGGAAAAAGCAAGAGTTGCATGTGAACACAAAGTGTAGGAGCAGTGGTTCATGTGTTTGTGAGAAACATGAAAAGTTGTAATGTTGGAGGCTCACTTGCATGTGTTGCTGGAAAATGTTGAAGTCCTTGTTGCGCACTATCTCGTAGAAAATAAAATTTGGTGGGACCCCACACATCTCCCCATTGCATAGACCCTGGTGCCTCTCATCATCCTCCCTGCAAAGCAAAAACCAAAGAGACTCATTAGTTTTCATCATCCTCTATGAAATAAACAAACATACATGACATAAAATGCTATATAAACTCTATTTACCTGCTGTTACAGAATTCCACATCCAGACACTGCACTATCCCAGAAGCCCCTTGTGGTCATCTGTAAAGGAAAATAGTAATAAATCATACAGCAGCATAATCAGTTCTAAAGAGACTCTCAAAGTTTAATAATTTCATTTACAAAAAAAAAAAATTCTTTTACTATTCAGTGTGGTTGGGTTTGAACCTGGAACCTCCAGATCTCTAGGCCAGCATGCTGACCACTATGCTAGCAGAGACCTATGCTTTAGGACTGTTGAAACCCCTTCATATTTTGCACACGTAGTAAATTCCCCTCTCATAGTGGGGAGCCAACTGCATTCTTCTTCCTGCTTGTTCCCAGAGCAGCCCATCAAAACAAATTCCAGACGTGCACTCCACGTGGCTCCCCACACCACTCACCTCCAGCTAATGCTGAGGTGACAAATGTGGATGTATAAGAGTACATCCACTCCCCCATACACCTTCATGGCATAGTGCTTAGTTAAGCACAGGGGCAATTTTACCTGTTCAAAAGGTTCAATCACAAAATCACTGCAACTATCAAGACAAAACCTGACATTACATAACCAATTAAAGAAACGAGCCATGCACACATTTATGAAAACTACTTGGACCACTCTCTCCTTCCTTGTCCTCAAAAGATCTTAAGACACAGCACCCCTGGTTGCCTTGACCCTCAACTAAATAGTGGAGTCACAGTAGCAAAAGGCTAGACACTTTGGGTTTGATTCCCAGCCTCCTATCCAAATGGGTCTAGACTTTTTGGCCTTGGCCACTTTTCAGTTTCCTAGTAATACAGTCAGTAGGACTCCTTGCACAGGGGATCAGCCCATCACAAGGCCTGTACCTATGCACAGACATCCATGGCTTAAGTGGGATTTTAATCCACAACCACAGCATTCAAAGACTTTTCATGCCTGAGACCGCACAGTAACTATGATCGGCTTCTATCCAATGGGTTCCAGGGGGTAAACTACCCAAAGCATGTAGGTGACCACTCACTCAACAGAGCTACACCTCTGCTCCCCCATACACTTTCATGGCATTGTGCTTAACTAAGCACAGGGACACCATAACCTTTAGTAAAATAATTGGGCAGCTGCACCAGAAACCCTTCCTACTTAGAACTCTGCCCCGGCCCTGAATCCTGTGCTACTTAAAATGCCTACCCCCACACATAGCAACTTCCCTCCCTTTACCATCTGCATATGAAGTCCTGAATAACATCCTCAGACTCCAGCAGTACTGGACTCGTCATGCTCATAATGCACTGTAACAGAAACATAACACACACCTTTCAGTACAGGGGCTCCTTGTAGATGGTGCACTGCTGAAGATGATGCTGTATCATCCTTTCTTGCCCAGAAACTCAACATTCTTCACTGATGCCATTCCAGCACTGCCAACACACAGTAACAAGTATACAGAATACACTTCATATTATAGAAGGTAAAGCTATCCCTGTAACAGGCCGTGAAGGCCAACAGGGTTGCGAGATGTCAAGGCTCCCACATTTTCCAGACATTCAACTCAGATGGCAGTCACGCTGTTGGCCTTATGCACCAGTTGCTCTCCTGCCGGAAAATTCCTGGTACTCATTTCTGTTAGAAGGTGAGTTGACCCCAGGGCCATAGTGTTGCTGGAAGGATTGGGTCAATTGAAAAATACAATGACTTCATCAGGACTTGAACCTGCTACCTTCCAGCTTGTAGCAAAGTGCCTCCCACTTCATATTATAACTGGTCATAATGTCTCATTTTCTTTAAGTGCCTTAACCTGTGAAGGTAAAGCTATCCCTGTAACTGGCTGTTGAGGCTCCCCCATTTTCTAAACAATCGGCTCACAGATGGCGGTGAGGTTGTCAGCCTTACGTGTCAGCTGCCCTTTACTCCCCAGGACAACAGTGTGGCTGAAAGGATGACCTCATCAGAATCGAACCCATGACCTTTCTAATTCAAGATGGTGAGTTCAGCACTAACCTGCAGTGTAGGCTGCGCCATAGCTCAAGCGGTTAGTCACTGGCTTCCCACCGCAGCAGCCCAGGTTCGATCCCGGGTCTGGTCAAGTGGGATTTGTGGTGGACAAAGTGGTGCTGGGGTGGCTTTCCCCTGCCAATCTTCATTCCACCAAATTCCCCATCATCATAATCACCCAGGGCAGGCTATAATAGGCCAGTCAGTGGCTGCTGTGGCAAGTGGACCCACTTGGACTCCACCCCTTGCTAAGCGAACCTGCAGTGCACAGACTCCCAGCACTTCCTGTACAATGACCAGGAACACTGTTTGTCACTCTCAGTCTAAGTCAAAGGATATCTGATGACTGCCAGGCACAACACCCTACAAGGACTGAACTGCCGCTACCTCCTTGGTCCAGTATCATGGCGTCCTTTCTTTGCTGGGACAGCAGTCTTTTCACTGGTGCCTCTGTGTGAGCCCCCATTTGATGTTCCTTGATTTAAGGTTTCCCTTCATTTAACATTCAATTGCAAGGACTTCAGGTCTATAACCTCCATGTTAAATTGCCTCTATTTAAGATTTCCTTTAGTATAGTGTTGAAGTCCACTGATCTCCAAAATAGTAAAAGGTAAAGCTGTCCCTGTGCTTAATTAAATAAGCACTATGCCATGAAGGCATCTGGAGAGTGGAGGTACAGCTCCACCCTTTTTGATATCAGGCAGGAATCGAACCCCAGCCATCCAGCCCATCGCCAGTCACTATATGGACTGAGCTATCCTGACTCGGACCACTGGTTCCCAAGGTAGAGGTGCATCTAAAAAAGTAAAGTAAAGCTATCCCTGTAAGAGGCCGTGAAGGCCCATAGGATTACGAGACGTTGAGGGTCACATTACCTAGACAATTGGCTCAAAGAGGGCAGTAAGCTTGGCTTGGACAGCAGCTATTTTGACAGGATTTTCATGGTTTTCCTTGGTTGCTCCAGACAAATGCCATGATAGCATATCAAATCAGGGCATGACCACTTCTTTCCACACCTTTGAAATTCTTTATTCATTGATCATCCTATGTATAAGTATGCTGAAAGCAGAATCCAGTAACTTTCGAATGATGATATAACTGTCTTGCATCACCAACTGATGACAACCCTCATCTCAGGGTAGACGGAGCACATATCATAAGAACACAGAGCAGGCATATGAGAGAATTTGAAGAAATTTTCAAATCAAGAATTTTCTGTATTAATCCACTGTCATCACTATCAACACAAATTTATAACTTCAGACATTTTTCGCAGCACTTCACCCTTTTGATATCAGATAAATTTTCAATTAAAAATAAACCATTGCATTAAAAGCATTCTGGGGTTATGGCATTTTCCTCCTGAACAGAGAGATAAAACAAGATTTTGAATCAAGATAGTTACTTTTCTCTCAACTCAATCTAAAAATGTAAAAATATTTACAATTTGCATGTGTGAGCTACTTAAATAAATATAAAATCTGGCCCTTCAAATCCCATCAAACTCTGCAGAGGGCTTAGACCTCTGTCTACAAGAACAGCAATAACCTGGACTCCTGAACACTGCGGTTTTGGTGACATCATTCAGATATGGTCACAAACTGACTGGATACCCCACTAATTTGGTTATAATTTACATCAATTTCTTTCTTGTTTACTTTTCTATACCACTAAATTGCCTTACTCTTTTTGTTAATCTATTTTTCAGTCACCTGGACAGGTGACATCCAGCCCTCTGCCCACCTCAAGCAATGCCCTGAGTTTGTACAATCTCCAGGAAGTTTCCAACTATTCATAAGAAAAGCAAGAGGTATCTGATGCAACACATTACCTTTAGCACAAGAGGTGGACGGAGCCTCAGGTACTGCATGGTATTTTCTCGCCCTGGAACTTCACATCGGCCATCGTTAGGATCAGCTTCCTCCACTGATGCCACGCCAGGACTGCCAACATACAGTAACAATTATAACCTCGGTCCCAATTCCTCTGCCATCAAACAAGCTTTCCCACCCTGACTTCAGCACTTGCCCCTTTCCCCATGCCAGGGGTTCTCAAAGTGTTGGCCATGCAACCCTGATGAGGCACAATTTTGCTTTGGGGNAATCTCCAGGAAGTTTCCAACTATTCATAAGAAAAGCAAGAGGTATCTGATGCAACACATTACCTTTAGCACAAGAGGTGGACGGAGCCTCAGGTACTGCATGGTATTTTCTCGCCCTGGAACTTCACATCGGCCATCGTTAGGATCAGCTTCCTCCACTGATGCCACGCCAGGACTGCCAACATACAGTAACAATTATAACCTCGGTCCCAATTCCTCTGCCATCAAACAAGCTTTCCCACCCTGACTTCAGCACTTGCCCCTTTCCCCATGCCAGGGGTTCTCAAAGTGTTGGCCATGCAACCCTGATGAGGCACAATTTTGCTTTGGGGGGGGGGGGTTGCATTTGTTTGCATGAAAAACATGGTTTGGTGGAGAGTTTAGTTGTCATACAATACTACAGAATTCAAACTCACAGAGCAGTGTTTCTCAACCACCAGGTCGTGGCCCCATACTGGGCACTCAACTTAAGAGAAAAAAAGAATTTACCAGGCTGCGGTCTAACAAAGGTTGAGAGCCATTGGCAGTTTTAGGAAGTAAACGACAATACAAGTCTGCATACGTACTGTTAGGGACTCACCTTGTGGCTCTGTGAGGAGGCCTAGCAAATTTACTGCTAAAGCAACTCACTCCACTGTTTTTAAGGATGAAACTGTGATACTCCTTGCTGCGACGGACATGGTACAAACATAGTTCGGTGAAAAATGTGCTCAGCAGCCTCATAATGTACCCCTCACAAATAACATAGTCTCTCAACAGATTGCTCATATATCGGAAGACTTGGAACAGCTCATTGAGGTGAGAAACAAACATTTTTCAATGCAGACTGACTGATTGGAGTGCTACTGGTCAACTGACAGCTTACATGAGATATGTTGAAGGTATAACAATTAACAAAGACATGCTTTTCTGCAAACCTATAAAAAGAAGAGCAACAGCACAAGAACTCTTCAAAACTGCTGAGGACTTCAGGACAGAAAAATGCATAAAGTGGTCAGACTGTGTTGATGTATGCATGGATGCAGCTTGCGTAATGGCGGGAAATAACAAAGGACCGCAGGACTTGATTAAATGATCAGCAGCGGAGGCTATGTGGACACACTGCACGATACATCATGAATCACTGGCCGTGAAGGAATTATGCCCAGAACCGAGTGAAGTGATGGATACAGTGATAAAGACTTTCTGCAGAATTGTGTGAGGAAATTGGAGCACAGTATCAGTTGCTTCTGTTTTACTATATTTCCCGTTGGCTGTCAACAGAAAACGCTGTGGCTCGTATTTCCAACTTCCAAGAGGAAAATGTAGTACATCCTGAGCTTTTTGTGCTTAAGTTAGTGTACTTCAGTGATATTTTTGAGAAGTTCAATACACTGATGCAAGTATCCATGGGAACAATACCAACATCATCACAGTGACTGACAAAGTTCAGGTTGTGGGTCAGAAAACTAGAAGGAAAACAATCAAGGATTATTTAATCTGCAGTCCAGGTTTTCTAAGTATTTTCCAGAAGCGGTAAGTGATAAATACAAATGGATCATGGATGCATTCCATGCTGATTCCCCCAAGAATTACGACTCTTTTCTTGAAGAAGAATACTATACTGACATTAGATTTCAGCCCTCTAAAAGTTTGGTTTCCTACAAATTGTACATGGAATTTTGGGTGGCAAGTGGGCAGGAGGTCCCTCACCTCAGCAGGAAAGCTTAGAACAATCTCCTTCCTTTCACAATATCCTACATATTTGTCTTGATAATTTTCTTATCCAGAATGGTCTAACAGGGATATGCTTTATCACCACTGCTTTACAACTTTGCTTTAGAATATGTTATTAGGAAGGTCCAGGAAAACAAGGTGGGACTGAAATTAAATGGGACAAATCAGCTGTTGGTCTATGCTGATGATGTGAATCTCATTCATCATCGGTTATCTGTCAGACGACAGGTCCACAGTCTCTTCCAAAACGGTACTGCGATGTGAATCTACTGGGTGGTAAATGTAGATACCATAAAGAAAAAAACACAAAGGCAAGTAAGGAGGTTGGTCTAGAAGTAAACACAGAGAAAACTAAGTATAAGTTGCTGTCTCGTCACCAAACTGCAGGGCGAAATCATGACATAAAGATAGGTAACAGATGTTTTGAAATGTGGCACAGTTCAGATATTTGGGAACGATGATATCAAATCAAAACCCAATTCAGAAGGAAATTAAGAGGAGATTGAACTTGGGTAATGCTGCTACCATTCAGTCTTTTGTCTTTTTGTCTTCTGGGTCATTCCATGTGAAGTCATCCAGGCAGGGCGCTCGACCATTTAAAAAAAAAAAAATTATATTTTGTACACAGTTGAGTAAAAACTTGTAATGATATGAATTGTAGTCCAATATCATGAGGAACAAATTGATTTTTAATTGGAGTCCCTAGCTTCAATAATTATCAAGAAATAGAAGATAACGAAAACCTCCATTTCAGTTGAAAACTCGTTTTATTAGTATTATTAGAATGATCAAGTCAAGGAGAATGGGATGGGGAGGGCATGTAGTATATGGGAGAGAAGAGGAATACATACAGGATATTGGTGGGAAAGCTAGATGGAAAGAGACCACTGGAAAGACCAAGGCATAGGTGGTTGGACACAACATTATAATGGATCTTAGAGAGAGAGAGAGAGAGAGAGGATAGATTGAATGGATCTGGCTCAGGATAGGGAGCAGTAGAGGGCTTTTGTGAACACAGTAATAAACCTTTGGGTTCCATAAAATTGTGTGAAATTGTTGAGTAGCTGTACAATTAGCAGCTTTCAAGAAGGGCTCAGCTCCATCACTGAATGAGTGATCTATATATTAAGTCAAATCTGTCTACACTTGTTCATGGGGGGACTGAAATTTATGAACAGCTTTAAGGCACGCATAACATATAAAAGTTTGGGAACCTCTGCCCTAGGAATATCCCAAGCAAGCACTGCTGACATACACACACACTTGGCATGTTGTCCCGGACTCCCCTGGCTGTGAACCCCACCTGGCATTGCTATGTGCCCAATACTACCAGAAGATGAACATGACACATACCTTCAGTATGCCTCTCCTTGCAGACGGTGGACAGGCGGAGACAGAGACGAAGACACTGCATGCTCCTTGCTAACTCAGAAACTCAACATCCTTCAGGGCTGGAACCAACTTCCTGAGTGATAACTGGAAATCGGGAAACATTCTGGTTGCTCTGTCAGACAAGAAGGGCTCCTTATGGATGTCAGAGGTCTGGGTACAGCGCCATATCAAAATGGTAAAGATTACAGACATTCTGTCTCTCACACTACACACGTAAAAGTGTCAGGAAGCTCCTCCCAAATGTCGCTAAGCTTTACCATTTCAAGAGTGCTATACTGAGAGATCCTACAAGGAATATGAACTGTCGGGAAGTCTCCAGTCTTCTGATCTCTCTGGTGCTACCGCAATATGACAGCGTAACATGTCTCACCAGTGATGGCTTCCCAGGCCTGTTAACAAACAGGATACATGAGCCATCACATCGGTGCACATTGCAATGAATCAAGTACAGCCCTGCTACGAGTCCAACCCAGCTCAACTGTCCTGCTCAGATCCTTACCATGAAAAGTCTGCTACTGTATAACTGAGGCCATACTGCTGATGTGCAGATATGCTTCCTCGGTCTAGAAGAATAACCATGACTTGTCATTCTAAGACCCAGGATAAGCTGCTCTCTGCCTGCTTGGCCTCTCATTGTGGAGCCCTGGTTAATCCTAGTGACCTACTTGGGATTGTGCCCTGAGCTACCTGCATGAAGTTCCCAATCACGTGGATTCTCTTTTGAAAAACGCTTCAGTTCTTTAAATTATTTGAGTTTCTCTTATATAATATGAAGTTACATTGTTCTCTTTGGGCCTTTATCATTTACTAAAAATAATGAAGCTCTTCAAAAGACACTAACCTTAATACACAGACTCCTGTTAGTTCCTGTGCAATAACAGGGAACAGAAACGTGTTGCTCACTGTTCGTTCAAAGTCAAAGTGCTGTTTACTGGAGAAGAAGAGTGTCCTGTGTCCAGGTACAGTGCTATCTCTCACCTCTGACATCACAGAAAGCGTAACAAAGTTCTCCCAAACATCCTACAAGGAAATATGAACTCTCCAACATCCCATGCACTGCTTCCTCAGCCTGATATCATGACACTGTTTCAGCATCCTGTTGAACTGATATATCACTTCACATCTTTAATGCATTAAAGACAGAAGTGTGTTAAGTAACGATATACTGTCATTCCAACAAACTTTAGTATTTACCTCTCATTCTGAATTTCCACATAAATTATCATTATCTGCATCCCATCTTCCAGTACAAGTAACTTTACGGATGATCTCCCCTGGTCTGGGGTCAATACTGAGCATGGGAAGGCAAATCTCACAGACTCCATGTGAGATTCTATGTTCTCACAGCAGTGACTATTAAGAGGTGCTACCTTCTGGGATGTAATGCCATAGGCTCCACTCTGCTTGCATGGCTTACTCTTTGACCCTAAAGATCAAATCAGCATAATCCTTCAAAATGTATTTTATTTCAGGTAAAAAAAAAAGTAAAGGTATCCCTGTAACAGGCCGTGGAGGCCGACAGGGTTGTTAGATGTTGAGATTCCCAAATATTCCAGACTATCGGCTCATAGATGGCACCAAGTTTGTCAGCCCTACATGCCAGCCGCCCTTTACCCCCAAGAATATTCATGGCACTCATTTCTGTTAGAGACTGAGTCGACCCCAGGGCCCTAGTGCAGCTGGTAATTTAAAAAAATTCACCTCGTCGGGATTCGATCCCGCGACCTCCCGGCTTGTAGCACAGTGCCTCAACCAACTATGCTACCGTGGGCCCCCATTTTATTTTACTTAAGTTAATTATTGCCACTGTCAGTGTTGAGGCTTTATACCTTCAATGACATGATGATTAAGGAACGTGTGGGGTGGGGGGAACAGAAGCACTTGGAAAAAACCTGTCCCAATGCCACATTGTCCACCACAAATACCACCTGACCTGGGATCGAACCCGGGCTATATCATGGTTTTCAAAATATTGCTAGGCTTCGAAGAATCTAGATGACATCATATTCCAGATGCTCCATGCTCAGTCTGACATTGACGATGACCAACATAACGAACCGCNCTGACATTCTCTTCTCCCCAGAGCTATCAACAAAAGATGATTACTGAAGAAGGCTTACACAATGCAAATAGTTTATATGGCCTGGACTCATCACTGGTACTGTCAAAATGTTACACAGAACGTGGAATGTATATATAGTATAATTATATTACAACTTTTACTACGTATCTTTTCAGATCACTAGTAACGTGCTACTGCGATAGCAAAGTTAAACTCTGCACTTTCGCTGCCTAAAAATATAACTAACTAATATAACTTCTTCCTTACCTGCTAAAATCTTATTAGAAACTTTTGAAGATTATTATTCTTATTATGAACACACTTTAATCTTTGGATTGTTCGATTTGAAAGAAACGACTCACATGATCATCATTCTTAATGCGGCCATTTTCAGCAGTGCCACACCCAACATATCAGCCAATAAAATCGCTCCCCTATACCATAGAGGCCATAGAGTAAGGACTTCTTCTTCTTCTTTCTAACACGTTTGTACATTATTTTCTCTGCCCAGCGTAGATATTCTTACAGAGCCATCTACTGCCATCGCTTTCAAATAATTCAAAGCGCATGGCGCGAGCAGTGTCATGCTCTTGAAGTCATGGAATCAAACGGATCATCAGTATGTTTAAAGGAGCCTCCCATTGTACCCTTTCATAAGCTAGGTTTGTCCATATCACTGTGTCCCAAATGTCATCTTCCTTCAGGTCTTACTGAAATTTTGCATTGGTTTTTATAGGTCAGAATATTATATTCAGTATCTTGTTCTCTTCTTACATTCCTAATCCCCAAGTCAAACCATATAAGATAGCATACAGCATTATAGCTTGAAGGTAACAACCTTCTGCTTTATGAAGTAATGTTGTCTGTTAGATGTTTACCAACCTCTCAGAGGTATAAGGGTTGGGTGTATGAACAGTTCCACAAATACTATTTATATTTACTAGCCACTTGACCTGAACCAGCTTGCAGCATCTCAGTGGTGGACAAAGTGACACTGGGGTAGATTTTCTCTGAGTACTTCAGTTTCCCCTGCCAATCTTCATTCCACCAAATTCTCCATCATCATAATGATCAGGGGCAGGTACAATAGGCCAATCAGTGGCCACAGTGCCGAATGGACCCAGCTGGACTCCACTCCCCACTAGGCGAATTTAAAAAATAAAAAAATAACTAGCTACTTAATTAAATCAGTTCGCCCATACATTTAGACTGAAGATAGCATGTTACTTACCACTTATGTTTCTTAATTTGCTTGTGGAAAATGGGTGTCTGAACATGCTGTATATATAGTTCATTCTCACGTTAAAAATTACTGTCTCCTGGAATGTGACACTGTGTAGTCCTGTAGATAATTACCAACAATTTGGAGGAACTTAGTATCCAATCACAGAAGATAGTACCTCTTGTAGTCAATGCTGAGAGGACTTCAGATCCAATATAATAATCAGAAGTTTACCAAACAAAGCCTGATGTTAAGTCAGGCATACTCTTATCTGTATTAATTTGCAAGGTGATACTTGTTAATACATTTGTTGTTTACAACTAGTATCTATATGATCTATGTACACTTGCGACGGTAATTTATCCCTGTATCCCATATCATTGAATGATTTTGGAAAGGTTATTAATATGGTGCCACCACTTGTTCTTAAGGAGGTTTGGGTGGATTTCTCTTGGGAAATCTGTTCTTTCATGTTGAGTTATGCACCAGGAAAGGGACAGAGGAGGCCTGATAACCTACTTCTCTTCCTTAAGGGAAAAGATTAGGCTCGCAAGATTATTTTGCTCTCTGTGTAGTCCACTTATCAGAATTGTGTAACTTTAAGGATTATGTTGTATAATTTTCATTTATGAATTAGTAAGATATTATTTTGGAACTGGTTTTTATTTTGTATTTGTCACTATATTTACCTTCATTGTGGCAGTGTTAAAATGTTGGCAGTAATGATTCCTGCACTTGGATGAGCAAATAGAAAAGGAATTAGTTCAGTGAAGTCAGATTCTGCATATTTTGCCTCTTCTAGTGGTACCACTTCTAGCAATATTTTCATAATGCTTTAATTTCTCAAATTGTTTTCAGAATCTTGAAGTCTTTTTGCTTTGTTTGTAAATACTAATGCACACGGATTTATGCATTGCTTTCAGGCTAGTGCCATACATGGGCATGACATTCTTCCTGTCTGACATCATGTCATTTCTAGCGAGACATTTTATGATCCTTAGACTTGAAATGTTGCTCTTAAATTCAATACTCAAGTAATGTTTGCATGTGATTGAAAGTATGTATGGATGCTTAATAGTTATGCAGATATATGATGTAATAATGTTCTAGTTCCTTATGCAACTTTGGCTTTTGGAGCTTAGTTGCATTATACAGTAGGACATGGCTAGGCCTTGACAGCCAATATGACATATTACATATAGATTTATAAAAGCAAAGGGCAAAAAGATTTTCTAATTTATCCTAATGAAGATGGCCATTCTTTATCTGGGATCTTCTTCAGATACTTATATCAAAATAATGAAATTGCTTATTTATTATGGAAATATATATATATCACATGCAGAAAATGTTTATATTAGGGGAATTTATTTACAGAAATAAAAACAGCTATGTACAATTATTAGTTTATAAATATTTATAAGGAAAATATTTGTTATATTTTCTCTTAAAAAAGGCTACAAGTGTGATCACAACCATAATTTCAAGGAGAATCATGTCTTTAACACCAACATGCAATCTATCCAAATTGTGCAATTTCATGCAGCCATTGGATCAGACAGTTATGTGGTTATACTGCTCATAGTCTATTGACATAATGACACTCACAAACTCTTCACAAAAGAGAGACCACCACTGAGATGTCACTGATATATTTATGTAACAGTTTATTTAATTTTTAATGACTGGGAACAGCTTGGAACCATGGTCTCATGATTATTTTATTTCATTTTATTTATATTTATAAATTATGCAATAAATTAATACAATAAATACAATTTTAATAAATAACATTTAAATAGAAGAACTCTACAGATATCTAGCTACTATTTATCATACATGAATTTGGTCTTAACAACTTTCTATTTATGTGTCCATCCCTTTCAGACTCTGAAAGAAGTTATTTGGTTAGAATATTTAAGACAACAGAGAAAGAGGAACTGAAGAAGAACATGGGAGGACAGGGACAAAAGAAGGAGAAATAAGAAAAGAGGAAGGTTTACTTGTTCTCATGACTTTCTCCTGCTCATCATTCATAGTCCTATTCTCATCGTTCCAGAGTTATACAAATTTTGCAGTTGAAAAAGCATTGTTACATAAACTAATAATACATCAATTTATAGTGTAACAGTGCCCTTTTATTTACTTATCTGTCCTCTGTCTGCTCCAGAAATTTTGAAAGAGTCTATTTGCTGAGGTGGGGAACACGCAAAGCATAAACCTTTGTCTCAGATTCCATCAAAGTAGTCCTATTACAAGTATTAATTAGGAAACCTCTCAGATGAGAGAGACAGACAAAAGGCCAGGCTATTAAGAGGTGAGTACTTAGCTTCATGCCCCTGCACTTCCTAGTGTCCACTGGAGAGGGGACTGTGTGGGCCCCACACACTGTCTGCACAATGTGGAAAAGATAAACTTCTCTGTTCCTACTGGAAATGTAACCCTGATTCCTCAGTCATCCAGCATATAGGCTAGTCATTAACTGAATCATTGTTTCAAGAAAACAAAGAGTTTATATGGACATAAACTATGACAAATGAAAATCCTTGGAATGGGAAAAGACAGCTGGTAATAGCAGGGCTGGCAACTATAAGCATAGTGATGAAGAAAACACAGCCATGTGCACAAGGCCTAGCAGTGTTCAGATCCATATACTGCAAACAAATACACATGCCGGACCAGGTGATGAATACATTAAATCAGGAGGTCTCTTTAAAAATCTAGTTTGATTCAGGTATACATATGAAAGAACTTTTCACTCTGTCCAGTCCAAACAGTTAATGAGTTAATTGACTGGTTTATTACTGGTCATTTAAATATCATTTAGAAATTCGAGAGTATGAAGTAATATAACATGTACATTAGATAAAGACTAAAGTAACAGTCTCAATATGTATGACACAATATGTGGTACCTTAAGAATAACCTTAAAGACTAAAACATGATAAGAAACACAGTTGAAATTTGATAAAGCAGTAGCAGTAACATCTTTGCCATATGGAAGTTAATCTTGGACAATGAAAGCAAGAACAGAGTGAAATCAGTGGAGATGAGGTATTTAAGAACAGTTAAAGGCTGGACTACACTGCACCATTTTAAGACTGCAGATATTAGGAAAGAGATGAGTACATATGAAACCGGATAAACTGCCTGGATAGAATGATTGATGAACAGATCCTACAACATAAATTATAAGGATGCTAAAACCAAGGAAGACCTTGAAGAAGAAGAAATGAATATATGAAGCCAGAATAGGCTTGATAGTATATATGAAGTGAAGATAAAGTAAAAGAATTTATTTCACATCTCCAAGAAAACATATTGTTATAATTAGGAAATTATATTTTGCTTGTTTTAAGAATGAAATGAGAAACATCGGAATGAACTTCCAGATTAATTAATGTTGAAGGAGGTGGCAAATATAGTTACCACTGCTATTTCAAAAACTAGACAAAGTGACATATTAATAACAATGGAAGTAAAGGATAATGATTCCAAAATCCATTTGATGTTGTTGATTTTCTTCGTTTATCTTAATCCATTTCTGAACCCTGAGCTTATCAATAGGATATTTCTCTGTAATCATCACTAGATAACCATTGTAGCCAATACTCTTCATCAGAATTCATCTTCATAAATGAAGAAACTTTCCTGTTCCAGCAGCACAGGACCATCCATATTAGCACTTAAGTCTGTGAACAAATGGGATTCTTAAAACAAATGTTCAGGAGTACCTAGTATACTTAGTTCAATAAGAGATTACTATCATGTCTGCTTTCCAAGCTGTCATATACAGTTATATCTCCAGTTTTACATGGTTATGAAATGTGTTATTTTACATAGAAAAGAAATATCATATCATTCAACCAATATAAGCTTTGAGATCTTCACAATGGTAACTGTTCAAGTTATGATCATCTTGAGTTATCACATAGTCTTGCAGGTGCAAAACTTAGATGCTTGGGTGGATATTAAGAGAGTTGGAAAACTATTAGAGAGAATATCAAAATTGCTGCCAAAAAGAGTCTAGGTTATTATGAACTGAAGTAGCATAAGCCATGGTTCAATGAAGGATGCTCAGAATTATAAGACTAAATTAAACAAGTCAAAATGCAGTGGTTATAGGATCCAAACAAAACAATTCGGGATACCCTAAACAGTAGGAAACATGAAACCAGCAGGCATTTCAGGAATAAAAAGAGGGAATATCTGAAAGACAAAATTAATGAGTTTTCAACAAACAGTAAGAACAAGAACATTAGAGACCTGTATAGAGGAATAAATGACTTTAAGAGGGGTTACCAAACTCAAGTAACTTAGTAAAGGATGAGAATGGTGATCTGCTTGCAGATTCCCACAACATTTTGAGTACGTGGAAGAACTACTTCTCTCAGTTATTGAAGGTACATACAGTTAATAATGTTAGGCAGACAGAAATATGTAAAGATGAGCCATTAGTACCTGATCCTATACCTTTTGAGGTTGAAATTGTATATCAATTGTATATAAATCGCCAGATAGTGATCAAATTCTGGCAAACCCGATTGAAGCAGGAGGTGAAGTATTATGTGCCATGAATACATATCAGAGAAAGGAGGTATAAGGGTAAAGCTATCCCTATAACAGGACGTGGAAGCCCATAGGGTTGTGAGAGGTCGAGGCTCCCACATTTTCTCTAGACAATCGGATCACAGATGGCAGTGAGCTTATCAGCCTTACACCCTGGCCACCCTTTACCCCCAGGAAGATTCCTGGCTCTCCTTTCTGTTGGAGGCTGAGTCAACCCAGGGCCATAGCATGGCTAGAAGGATTTGGTCAATTGAAAACTACAATAACCTCACTGGGAATAGAATCCATGACCTTCCAAATATAATGTCTTTTAAGGACATTTTACGAAAATCGCTGCCCCCCCCCCGGCTTGAGGACTTGTATCCCCTGCTTAGACATAACGTTAGTAACTACCCCTTCCTCTCAGCAGTTGTAGAGCAGGAAGAATGACAACTGAACAGTGTATGTCCCTGCAACTTTGCCAATTTACCTGTGACAATTAACGCTCTGTAGAACTTTCACTGGTTCCAAGAAATCCAATAGATTTTCCAAATCCTCTTGCTTGCACCAGTTTATTTATATCGTGGTAAGTCTTGACCATTGGAGGGTGAACCGTGCTCTGAGCACTGGAAGATGAGCAGCCAGGGTGCATCTGGATACAATCCGCACCATCTTGGCCATCCTTGGCTGCCTTCATGTACCGGAAGAAGCGTAGAATCTCTGGGTTGTCTGTTGATGGTTTCCTCAACTCATTCAGCTCCCTGAAATATGAAACACGGCTTTCAATGTACTTGCCAACAATAAATATTGTGCTCACCAGAGTTTATATAATGTCCTAAATATACAGTTATCTCTCAGGATTACTGTGTTTTTGGGTGTGATGCAGTGTAGCCTTGTACATGTTTTGCGACATTTCGAAGGAAAATGTTTCCTACATCTTCAGGGTAGAAAAATAAGCTGAACATGGCAATGGCTTGGTTCCTGCAGCAACGAATACTCATGCAACAATAGAGTTGCTGTTGGAAACGGGGTGTTTCTACATGGTCCGTGCTGAGATGTTATAAGCAAGGGAAAAAGTCAGCTGTTAGGCAGTTCTGTATGGGAGAGTGTGAAGACAGAACCAGAGCATGTGAAGCCGTTGCCAGGGAACGGATGGTGAAGACACAGTAGGCTGAAAAAGGTTTAACGTGTGCTGTGGTGATTTGTGAACTGTTGAGGTTAGTGATGGAGCTGTAATTACTTGTAGTTCCAAGTTGTGTGTATAAGTGGTCAATAAATCCATTCACCAATCCAAACCCCTTCTATAATCACTCATGACACCTAATGCCATCTTAGCTGTATACGTCATAAATCCCACCCGTCAGTAATACCAACAATGGAACTTCTCATATTGTATTGTTGACTTCATTAAGCATACTCACTGTTTTTTTTTTACTCGTCGTTGTCTATCGGGTCCATGTCATATCAGAGGAAAGTAGGAGATTAGTTCTTCCCAGAACTTCTTGTTTCATATTTTAAGTGACAGTTCACTTTCTGAATTGCACAGTCCAAACGGCAGTTCTACAGATATGTTTAACAACTGCTGCTTCGTTACACAACGAGTAGTCTGTGACCACTGTCCAGTGTCCATTGGCCGATGTGTATATTGGCCAATATAATCACACTCCTCTGATACGCATATTTGGGCGCCAAAACAGATACAAGAGGCGAGGCTGATACGGCTATCTCGACACGTTGACCGATATTTGGATGCAGTGACGTCACGATGGAGCCTGCCTTCGAGCCGGTTGACCCACTTCGACGCCAGACGTAAGCCAATAACCGTGTCGTAATGATAGAGTCCTCTCGTTCATTGACCACTGTTCGGTGAGGCGCAGTGAGAAAGAAGTAAACAAAACTACAAATGATGAATGAAAGAAAAAAGAAAGAAAAATATGGAGACCTAGAAAGAGAAATGATGACAGAAAGAACAAGTAATTCTGGGAAGAATTAATTGCCTATTTTACTTTTACACGACACGTACCGCGTGGAAAACGACGGCTCCAATAATTTTTCGTTGCCTAGGGGAAGTTCTTACCTAGCTGTTGCGTAACAACGATATGAGGGATACACATACAGACACGCAGAATGATGGGACGGATTTATGAGGTATGCCTTTGAGATGGGCTCAGGTGCCATGATATACATAGCAAATTTCATAAAGTTTGGTTCAGCCCTTCAAAACTTAAAAGGGCAGAATACACAGACACATACACACACAGCATGAAGATCGCATAAATTTATTTTCATTTTTTCAAAATAAGGAAAGGAGGTTAGTTGTTTGACTCACTATGCTACAAGCCGGAAGGTCGCGGGTTCAGTTTCTAATAAGGCCATTGCAATTTTCATCTTTCCTAATCCTTCCAGCCGTACTATGGTCCTGGGGTGGACTCAGCGTCTAACAGAAATGAGTACCAGGAATCTTCCTGGAGGTAAAAGGCTGCCGGCCGGGGGTAGGGCTGACAACCTCGCCGCCATGTGAGAGCCGATTGTCTACAAAATGTGGGAGCCTCGACGTTTCACAAACACGGCCTGCTGTAGAGATAGCTTTACTTACTCTTTAAGGAAAGTAAGCTAATTTGTCTTAAGCTGAGTCTGTGTAATCCGCTGAAAGTCAACCGACGTTTCGGAGGAATATGTTGTTTCATGTTTAGGGTCGAAGAATACATGAAGCAAGAAACTAGCGTGAAAATGATTGAAGCGTCACGGCATTTGTGAGAATCTCAACCATTACAACATTAGGCAGGGATGGAACTGGCTCTTCCATACACAGGCGCCCCACATGACTACAGAGCCCGGGAGAATAACCAACAAAATGCTATAAAGTTAATTAATACAGTGAGGATTCGTGAATTCGCCCTACGTGTATCGCCATTGTGAACACTTGAGGCAATTTGTATAGCTTCGTTGAAGAAGCGCTATGGAGCTTAGCGAGCGGCCTCTGTCTGCGTCTACCCCCATTTTAATTATACGAAGTTCGAAGTATTCAGTGCTGTGAATATTAATATCCTAGTCTTCTGTGTTATGATACAGTGATTTAAGTCTGGCAGAAGCGTGGCAACGTTCGAAGAAACTTGCTGGGTATTTTTTTCTGATGTATGTCTCTGACATTAAGGGAGGAACATAGACCGAAGGTGTTTGAGAACAGGGTGTTGAGGAGAATATTTGGACCAAAGAGAGATGAAGTGACAGGAGGTTGGAGAAAACTGCATAATGAGGAGCTTCATAAATTGTACTCTTCGCCAAATATAATTAGAATGATCAAGTGAAGTAGGATGAGATTGGCTGAGCATGTAGCGTACATGGGAGAAAAGATGTATGCAGTCATAGTTTTAGTGGCAAATCCAGGAGGAAAAACACTACTAGGAAGACCTAGGTATGTGTAGAAGGATAATATTGAAATGAATCTTAGAGAAATTAAGTGGAGGTTTCGACTGGATTCGTATGGCTCAGGAGAGGAACCAGAGGCGAGCTCTCATAAAGAGGGAATTTCTTGAGTTCTTGAGTCAGCTTCTCAACTCCCTGGAATTGGTAGGTCAGCGACTTTAAGGCGACAAAAATAAGGTGATGGATAAGATAATCCTTTTCTTTCCTTAATGTTTTCATCCTTCCTTCAGTTCCTTCTTCTAACTTTTCTTTTCCCCCCGCCATTTTCTTTATACCTCCTACTATTTATTGTGCCCTCTCTTCACATCCCCACTTTCCGGTTCAGAGCGAACTACTTTCAGCTGCGGAAGAAAATATTCTGCAGACCTGCGTGTTCGGTTCGGAACTGAACTTTAATCTGTATGTCCCGGGAGATCTTACAAACTCGAGTTGCCCACATTTCTCTCTGAAGGAGAACACCTCACCCAGGCGTGCTACGTCGTCTCCATATACAGAAACCAGAGCTCACCAGATGTCACTTCGCATGCTACATGACCAGCCACTTCAGATCCCAGTCATCTTGTTCTATTATCTCCTTCTTCATCATATCTTTTTCAGCTCCATTTCACCTTTTTCTCCATTCATCTAAATCCTCTTGTCATTTTCTGTCGGTTCTTACTTCTCATTTCCTTTCTCTTCAGTCTTTTTCCTCAATCTTATTTCGCGTCTGTTCTCCAACTGTTTCGTCTTCTTGTTCCTTCACCTATTTTGTCTACTTTTTCTTCTCTTTCTCTTTTCTTCTCCTCCTTCATTCTTCTACGTCCTTGTATCTCCTCTTCTTCCTACTCCGTCCTTTCTTCATTTTCCTTATTATGTTCGTTCTTCTACTTCTCCAATTTGTCCTTCCATTCCATATCTTCTTTCATATTTTCCCCATTCTCTTTCCTTCTGTCTCCACTTTCGTAATTATATGAGCACATTCAGAGCTCGAGAAGGATACGGGAGAATCATAACAAGCTATAGCAGCGGGTAAATTCTTGTCCAGCGCATGAAAGTAGCTCTACCATAGAGTCAAACACAGTAGGAATCTCTTCACGACCTCCTCACCTGAAGAATGAAATAAAAGCTATTTCCGAAAAGTTGTAGTTCTTGTATTCAGAACTAAGACGATGGAAAAAGTTCCAAAAATTCTCTGACATTTACATACCTAACTGCTATTCTGAGTTAGTGCATCTAAATATTTAATTGCATTTTTTGGTTAGCGCACTTTCATATCTAATTCCCCATCTGGGTTAGTGCATTTTGTTATTTCAACAGCTTTACTGCCTTACTACAAAGCAAGTTGCATTTCCAGGACGTCTCAAGATATTGTGATCCGGTATTTTTGACGAAGTTTGCCAAAGGAATTTCCCATTGAAATTTCAGAGGGCATGATGCTGGATTCATAAATATTTACCACACTGTAAAATGTTTCCGATTAAATATGCAAATGTCTAAAAGAGAACAATGTTTTATGCTGCATATGTTTTTATTTTGTAAACTGGCTCTTTTTAAAGAAATTTGTAAGAATTCAAATTTACAATTGGTTTAAAATTAAATTCACTAATAATGTAGACCTCTAACACAAATTTAATTTAAATTCGTTGAGTCGTGGGGGGAGGGGGGGGGAGAAATATGAACGCATGGATAAATAGACACGCCTTTTCCATTTTTTTCCGTGGCAAAAAACACGCAAGAGAACAGTTTTCTGCAAATTACAAAGTCGACTCTCAATTTCTCGGTCGAGTTGCTGTCCATGTCAGCGTACCATTGCGGTCAGTGTGTCCGGCAGTCCGAGCAGGTGTGCACCTGTGAACGGACACTTCTCTGCCACTCCAAGTCGGTATCAGCGTGCTTAAACTCACGTTCATGCTTATGGTCACCGGCTTCTCAGAAAGTTGCATGTCCAGGAAACGCAGACAGGAAGAGGAACCTTCGTATAGCATGTCTCTAACATCTATGAGGTTGCGTCACCATCACTTTGTGACGTACACGGTTGAGTCATTATTAGAAAATTGCAGTTTACATTTTAGATATGCTATTGGAACAAAAAGCCGGTCACGGTGGCCGAGTGGTCTAAGGCATCCACTGTCTTGGCTCGCTCGGAAGCCGGGATCGTGGGTTCGAATCCCACTCAGGGCATGTGTACAGAAAGAGGCTGATCACTCGCCCAAGGAGCCCTATCGAATATCTAAGATCTAGCCCAAATTGGGGCTATACCGCCAAAGGGAAAAAATGGGACAAAAATTACCATATCGAAGAGTTCGTTGAGCCCAGAGGGATTTTTTTCCTTTGTAAGGTTGCCTATTCAAACTATGACGTGCTCTGAAAGATGGTTTAGACAGACAGTATCATATAATTCGCCAATGTTCAGCTTTGGCTAGGCACAATTCTGCGTTACGAGAACCGATGGGTGTCAGAAGGGCTTCAATCTGGCTGTAGGGTCCTAACATGACCGTGGGCGCTCAGTACACTCAACACAGGCCTGAGTGCTCCAGGCAACTAAATATTTCCCCTTAAGTCAACACCATTATCAATAAATGGACAGTGACTACTGAAGACAAAAAGGTAAAGTTGTCCGTGTGATTCATTAGTTAAGCACAAGGCCATGAAGCCGTACGGGAGACTGCAGCTGTAGGTAGACTGTTCTTGGTCTCGGCACTAGATGGAGGTGAGTGGTCAGCTTCAAGCCCAGATTGCTTTACCTGCCGGGAATGAGCCCCCGATACCCACTGGGACACGGACGCTGTGCAGGAGAGAAAAATTTCTTAGCCCTGTCGGGAATCGAACCTCAGCCATCCAGCCCGTAGCCAGTCGCTATAATGACTGAGCTACATCTGCTCCTGTACAGTGACGACTGGTGTTATTTACTAAATCTATGAAGCAGAGTTGTTATTCAGAAGCCGACTGTTGTTGAGCTGGTCAAGAACTATTTACTCTTTATGCTACTAGAAGGTTCATTGCTATGCTCACAACATCTCACCGCTGTTTTGTTTCCTAAACAACTACGTGGCCGGTTTATTTTAAATATTTTGTCATAGGGCTCCAACCTACGCATAGGCCTGCCAAATGGTCTATTCCCTTCAGGTGTTCTAACTAAAATTTTGTATGCGTTTCATGTTCATTTACAAGCAGTGTTTCGCGCATGTAGTCACTTGACCTCTAGTGACCTCACTATGACCGAGAGATGCATAATAACATGGGACTCTTGGTGGATTAGCAGAACACTGACCGTATCGGCTTACACTAAGTCGAGTGTGTTTAAAAATGTCAGTAAGTTAATGATAGGACAGGAGCAACAATTGTTATTTATACAGGATAGGCTACTTCAGGCAAAAAAAAAAAAAGTCCATGAAAGTAAACTATAGGAATTTTCCAACAGACATTCGCATATTCTGCAGCCTACCGTATCATGTCTCCGTTCACTGATCCTTATAAATGGAACGCTTCCTACTTGGTGATTCTATCCTCCAAAGAGGATAAGGCGAAGCAATTACCTAGGTCCGCCCACCTGTAATACGCAAGGTGAAAACATCGGCATAACTTACGGATGGTTCTTGCTCTCTCAGATGCTCAATGTTTCTCTAAATACAAGAGTTGAAAATTCCGTCTCTCCACAAGCGCTGTCAAAAATGTTGATTGGTTTCAAATTTCTCAAATATCAGTGTTCTGGAATTGTGGACATCTCATTCGGTCACTTCTGGCACACAGCCACACCAGACGCGTAAGGTCAACAACATTAATAATTAATACAAAATTGTCTCTCTTTAAAATTCGACAATTTTCCCGCTTACAATATTTGTAACATTTTTGCGATTTCCCGTACGGCGCTCTCAGTAGAGAGACTATGTAGCGTCCGGTGGCAGGAATATAGGTTATGAATCTGAAAGGGTTTCGATTGGAGGCCCCTGGTCCAATGGCATGCACTTTCGGCAGTTTCCTGGAGGATGTGTAACTTACACACGTCTAGGACAAACAGTAGGAGAGGATATGAGACATAGCAAGGTGCCAGAAAATACTGATGGATATTTATATGGTGGTTGCTACAAGATTTTGCATATTTTTATTTGGCTAAACGAGCCGTATATAGGTCAACGTCGACCAGCTCCACTTCCGAGATATTTTTGGTTTAATCAAACACTAACACCTGATAAGTTGTTCAAACACCACAGTGCTAAAATGTCCAAACTCACCTGCCAAGCTGCATGAACACCAGACTGCTACAGTGTCCAAACCCACTGATAAGCTGTGCAAACACCACAGTGCTACAATGTCCAAACCCACTGATAAACTATGCAAACACCACAGTGCTACAATGTCCAAACTCACTGATAAGCTGTGCAAACACCAGAGTGTTACAATGTCCGGACTCACCTGCTGAGCTGTGCAGACACAAGATTGCTGTAAGGTGCAAACTTTGCCGGATTCTTGTACATGGCACAAACAAGGCGCTCTCTGCATGTCTCTGTTTCATATCCCAGTTGCTTGAACACGCTGTCGAGCCGAGATAGCAGAGGACTGTAGAACGGGTCGTAATTCGTGAGTAGAAGAGATGATGAAGGGATGTTGTGGAACACCTTGTAGTCCTGCTTCTTGCTCGGTTGCTGATGTCGCGTGTAGTAACTCCCGTAGTGATGGTGAGCACCGGTAGGTAGCGATGCATAGCTAACTTTGGAGTTGCCCGTCGCTTGTTGTTGAAACCTGTAAGTATTCTCATATATTAAAAAAACAAACTCCGTGGCCTGTAGTCCACAAGCGAACTATACTGACCCAGCGCCCGCCCTTGTCGGCGAAGTTGGTGCCAACTTTAGCGGATGGAGGGTGTCGCGTGGTCGGCGCAACAAATCCCCAAGGCCGTTAATCTCGGTTCTCTAGACCGGAGCCGCTATTTTTTTAATAGCTCCTCAATTATCCTCACGAGGCTGAGCGGACCCCGTTCCAGACCCACTACTTCTCAGAAAATCTGGTAGCGCCGGGAATCGAACCCGGGATCTCTGGATCTGTAGCCAGGAACTCTGACCACTAAACCACAGAGGTGGTCTTTATATATATATTTCTTTCTTTTTTTTCATTGGCGTTACAGCCTTGATTTGGGCCTAGGCCTACCTCCATGAAACTCTCCGTTTCACTTCGGTTTACTAGCTCTTAGACATACGATAGGACTCCTTGGGCGAGTGATCAGCTCGTCGCAAGGCCTCTACCTGTACACAAACACAGAAAAACGCACACAAACATCCATGCCCTCAGTGAGATTCGAACCCACGATCCCGGCTTCCGAGCGAGCGAAGACAGTACATGCCTTAGACCGCTCAGCTACCGTGACTGGCAGTGTATAAGAATAATATATAAGAATTCAGTTCGTACCTCACAGGAAACAGATCCGAACCCACGATCCCGGCTTCCGAGAGAGCGAAGACAGTGCATGCCTTAGACCGCTCGGCTACCGTGACCGGCATATATATACGATTATAAGTTGTCGTGTAAAGTGTTGAGTTTGTACAGAATCGAATGAAATGGGATAATGATTACGAACGAATAGGCAAGGTTTTGGAACGAAGTCATCTTTGCTTATTACTCGTTTGTGTCACTGAATTTTTATAGATTTTTGAGAGAAACCAATACAATTTTTATTAAAGAAATCTGATAACCAGGGCCCGGATTTTGATGACATGTCATCTTTTTTTCCTTTATGTAGTAACCGTTGCTTTTAAGTACTAAAGCCCCGATTATGAACCTCTGGTTATAAAAAGGTGAATTTTGTTGTGCATTTTTTTGTCATATTTTGTATGTTTTAAGTTTTAGGTCATTTTTACAAGTTTTTACGTCATTTTTTCACGTTTTACATCAATTTTGGTTATCTTTCACGTTTTTTAATAATTGACACTCATTGATCAAACTGAAGATATTTGATTCGTGAGGTAGAAATCTATGTTCTTCAAGTAAATTTTGTTTTGCATCTCTAGCCTCTGTCACTAAACATAATAGATTTGTTTGTGAAAGGGCACATTATTTTTCTTTCTAAGCTGCCAGAGATGCTGTTACTGTCCCGCGCCGCTTTCTAAGCCACCGCTATGTCAAAAACTCATAAAACTGACGCCTCAGAAACGAAGAGGGGTAGGTTTAAAGAGATGTCCGGGTGTCATAAAATCAAGAAATTGGAAACTAATTTACACAGTCCGCATCTACCTGATTTTAAGAAAATTTAGAAATTAGTTTTTAGCTCATTTTTTTTTAAATTTTAGGTCTTTTTTTTTCAAATTTGGTAATTTTATAGATCCTTTTTCAGATTTTTTTAGGTCATCAAAATCCGAGCCCTGCTAATAACCCATTCGAAACTGGTACCTTTCATAAATGAATACCATTACTTTGTTTTTTACAGTTACTTCCAACAAAGTGTAGTTTGTAAACTCTGGGCCCCAAATTTAAAATTGTCATTATATTTATTTTCAGAGGCTTGTTTCGTATGTATAAGAAACTTGGACCCTGATTTACTGTGTGGAACTCATTCTGAGGCTGTTTAAGTAAGTTTGCTATGCTGAAGAAGGAGGAGGGATATCTCTCCGAAACGTTGGTACCTACTGAACAGAGAGTATAGGATGTCATAACTTCGTACTTCCATGGGATTTTTTCTTCCGCAAGGTTGCCTACACATGGCATGACGTAACCTGGTCCGTAGAGTGGGTGTACATTGGAATAGGGCGATAAAACAAAACGACGTTACCTATTGAAGGAGCCGGTCCCTGTAGCTGAACCAGGCACGTATAACGCCGCAGCAGGTAGTGTGCCTGCTGACAGTCCGTTCTCGAACGCCAAACCGCTAGATGTTTCTGGATAGACAAATGCTGAGGAGTATTTAGAGGCTGCCGTTGCCGAATCTCCGGTGTCGAACGCCATATTATCTTTGAATTCAAAATCGTCCACATTGTTGTTCGAAGGTCCTGAGGATCCTGATGCCGAAGCGAAGGTAGAAACGCCTTTACCCACCAGTTTTCCCAGCCCGCCAAGGATGCTGGGTAAAAACATGGCTATCAAAACAGACTTCACAATCTGCGCCCCGATGAATAACGGTAACAGAAGTTTCTTCAGCCCGAAGGCGAGAAATCCGAGTCCAAAACCAGTCAGGAAGGAGCTCTTTCCTGATCCCTCTGAAACAGAGACTCAGACCCTGATGTCACAAGCACAGTTATCGGGAAAATGTAACAATATAGTAAATCTCTCTCTAAAGGAACCATAGATAAACAGATATACGAGGAAATACATCGGGCCCCGAAATGTACCCGTACAGCGAAAACCAATACCAAATTACTTCTAGGTAAAGTTATCCTTGTAACAGGCCGTGGAGGCCCATAAGGTTGTGAGACGTCGAAGCTCCCACATTTTCTAGACAATCAATCAGCTCACAGATGGCGGTAAAGTTGTCAGCCTTACGCGCCGGCCGCCCTTTATCCCTTCAGGAAGATTCCTGGTACTCATTTATGTTAGAGGCTGAGTCGACCACAAGGGACATAGTGCGGCTGGAAGGATTATGTCAATTGAAAAATTCACCTCATTGGGGCTCGAACCCGCGACCTTCCGGCTTGTAGCATAGTGCCTCAATTAACTACGCTACCGCGTACCCCATCAAATTACTTCTTAAATGCCGAAATGCCGAAATGATTGCTGCAGGTTTTCTGGAAGGAAAAATTGTATTCTAATCTCATCTTTTTCTGTGCATGCTATGTGCTCAGCCCACTTAATTTTTCCTTGATTTGATCTTTATAATAATATTTGGGGAAGAACATAAATTGTGAATAAGTAAACTCTATATTCCCTTAATGTGAGATACGTAACTTTTATTGTTCCTTGCATCCTGTTGTGTACTAGACGAATGTTAAAGTTAATCTACCGACCACACAACACGTTTTTTATTTACTGCCACACTACATGTTTCGACCTCAGGAGGTCATCATCAGGTGTACGAACACAATTTCACAATCACACGCAATCACTTCCTTTCTCCACTAATTTCCATCCTGTATCCTGTTCAGATTCACGCTCAAATAATATGTATAA